GTAGAAAGTTTGGCATGTGTACACGGATGTTGATTGTTGATTAGAAAACAAATCTACTTCAGTCCAGGTCGTCTGAGTAATTTGTGGTTTCGGGGAATTCCTGTGTAATTTTCAGTGTGACTATGTATATCACGGATTTATACTAGTATATAATCCACAATAGACAGCGTGCGTACTCCTGAGTAGTAATACTATCAAGATATACAACAACTAGAAATATCAGGAAAGTTTCATTACCAAAATGTCTAAACCAAAGGACAAATGGGACGATGAAGTGGCTAGGATAATGTCAGGTTTGTGTGTGAACTTTTTATAAAGATTGATTTTAAATATAGAAATAGTTTTTATAAAAATTAATATAATATCTGTTCAGTAAACCTCTAATATAACCAATTAGTGTGACTTCAAAAAGTAATATTATATACTCTCTATACAGAAAGTCTTACCAAATTTAATTCTACAAGCTGTTGAACTTTGAGAAACATGTTTAAGGATTCTAAATCCTCACTCCTTGTTAAGAATATTATTTTTCCAGTTCTCTAAAAAGATTTCTTTCTGTTTAGAGTTACCATGGGAAATTTTCTCTCAGAACTCTACTAAGAAATTTTCATGAAGCTCCAGTTCTGTTTGTAAAATGAAATCCCAACACTCTAACAGCTATTGTCTTGTTAAAATTTTGTAGATGTTATTGATAAAAAACTAGAATTTTTTCTCTAAACTTTCCTTTGTTAAGAAATCTTTGCATACAAACAAGGTATGGAAAACTGGAAACTTTGCTTGGATATACCTGAAAAGAATATTTCATATCTGTCTCCCCCAGACATTTTACAGTGGGTGGTAAAGGAAAGTGTACCCTACCATACCTAAAATAAAGTTTGCTTTTTTCTGTCAGTATTGAAACCAATATGTTGCCTGTCTTCAGATATCTAAATTCAGCTAGTCACATATATAGGAAAGAAGATTAGACAGGTTTAAAATCTCTCCATTTCTTGGCTTCAGGTCCGTCTTTCGACAGAATCACTTCATTTATTTCAAATAAAGTACATCTTTCTCAGGGAAACAAGAAAACTAGAAAAGGTTTTTAAGTCCACTCACAGCTATTCCCTCTATCTCCAAATGAACATTTAGATACATCTGTTTCTTTGAAGGAAAATTCAAAGGTTTTTTAGACATTTAAAAATCCTATGAGATGTTTAGATAAATTGAAAATGCTATGGTATCTGATTTAGAGTGAAATAAATGATGCTTCTCATCTGTTTGAGTTTACAACATTTAGACTTCATACAAAATGGTACCCTAGTCTCCACTCTTCTCGCTGTATCCCCGACCCACCCTCGTAACCTATTATACGCTCTATGTTCACCTTTATCCTGAAATTTACTTATATCAAAAATCTTAACCTTATTTCATCTGTAGGAGGAAAATGACCTTTGTCATAAAAATTTTACCTGTATGAGACAGTTAACCTTTGTCACAAATTTCACCTGAATGAGAGAATATATCATAAATTTCACTTATATGAGAGAGTTTATTGTAAATTTTACCTGTATGCGAGAGCTTCTAATAAATTTCACCTGTATGAGCTTTTATCATAAATTTTACCTGTATGCAAGAATTTAACATAACTTTTACCTGTATGTGAGGATTTGTCATAAATTCCACTTGTGTGATCGGTTTTACCTTTGAACCTTGATGCGTACCTACAGAAGCGTTCTTTTAATGAAGATATTTTGTAGTGTCCATTGAAATCTGTAGATATTTATAGATTTGTTTGTATGAGACTCTGCATTGTGAATATTGGTGGTGGAAGAATGTTTAGTCATACGGGAATGCATGCAGTTCTCAATCATAGCATTAAATTCATTAGTTTCAACTTTCACCTGGGATATCATTGTGTAAATTAGATTTTTCATCTGCATGCTTCTTCCAAAGTTTGTTGTTTATATGTGTGTGTTATGTAAATGTAATTTTTTCATGTTTCAGTATTTCAACAATTAAACATCAGCATTTCAAAGATCCGACATTGATCTTAAAAACCCATTGGTGTCTTTCTGCAGTATTTTGTAAAAATTAGAAAATTAATTTCAAATGTTTTGAAAAATATAAAAAAAATCTAAGCTGTATCAATTATATTTTCATTGAAGAAAATCATTTATTTAAATGTTTTTAGTTATTCTGAATATTTGGATAAATTTATTTTTTTTCAAAATACAGTTATATTTTTTTTTAAATGAGTTCAAAAGATTTTCTGACATCACTGTCTTGAAATGTGAAGAAAACTGTAACATTTACACACAAAAAAAATGTGTAAAACAACCACAATTTCATCTATTAATTCTTTATTCTTCCTAAATAAAATGGGTGAACACATTGTACCTGATACTGTACACTGAGGAATCCTCGTTGTAAACAGACGCTGGAGTTGAAGGTCTTTGAAGTCTGATGTGTGTTGATAATAGTAGTTAGGTGTTATGTTATGTTACAATGTTATCAGTTAGTACTGCTTCTCTTCTCTACATGGTGTACAAGTGCATGGAGGTATGTGGTGGCAAGATCAACTCTCATATCCTTGTTTTAAAAAAAATGGGTAAAAACTCTAAAACAAAATGGTTACTTAAAATTCTTTTCAAAATTATTACAGAAACTTTTTTACTTTTGATTCATCAAAATTATCCCAAGGTTTATATTTGTTTTTTACTAATAATTAAAAAAAAGAAATTGGAACTCAATGAAATAAAATTGTTTGAGGTCATGACCTTGTCAGATTATACCACCCTGTTTACTTTGTGTTTGATGACAAAACCCAATAACAGTTTCATATCTTCATTCATTTACGGTAAATGTTCTTTTATTTATTTTTTTTTTCCCCATTATAGCTTATGATGTTTTTGACTCCGTCAATATGTATATTCAAAAAGATACTGATGATAGAATAGAAAAAAAATCAGATTTACTGCTAAAAATAAAATTACAAATGTGGATAAGTAGAGAATATGTACTTCTGAAGTCTGCCTAAGTAGAGAGTATGTACTTCTGAAGTCTGACTTAGTAGAAAGTATATACTTCTGAAGTCTGACTTAGTAGAGAGTATGTACTTCTGAAGTCTGACTAAGTAGAGGGCATGTACTTCTTCTAAAGTCTGACTAAGTAGAGGATATGTACTTCTGAAGTCTGACTAAGTAGAGAATATGTACTTCTGAAGTCTGACTAAGTAGAGAGTATGTACTTCTTCTGAAGTCTGACTAAGTAGAGGATATGTACTTCTGAAGTCTGACTAAGTAGAGAATATGTACTTCTGAAGTCTGACTAAGTAGAGAGTATGTACTTCTGAAGTCTGACTAAGTAGAGAATATGTACTTCTGAAGTCTGACTTAGTAGAGGGTATGTACTTCTGAAGTCTGACTAAGTAGAGAATATGTACTTCTGAAGTCTGACTTAGTAGAGGGTATGTACTTCTTCTGAAGTCTGACTAAGTAGAGGGTATGTACTTCATCTGAAGTCTGACTTAGTATAGGGCATGTACTTCTTCTGAAGTCTGACTAAGTAGAGGACATGTACTTCATCTGAAGTCTGACTTAGTAGAGGGTATGTACTTCTTCTGAAGTCTAAGTAGAGGGCATGTACTTCTTCTGAAGTCTGACTAAGTAGAGGATATGTACTTCATCTGAAGTCTGACTTAGTATAGGGCATGTACTTCTTCTGAAGTCTGACTAAGTAGAGGACATGTACTTCATCTGAAGTCTGACTTAGTAGAGGGTATGTACTTCTTCTGAAGTCTAAGTAGAGGGCATGTACTTCTTCTGAAGTCTGACTAAGTAGAGGATATGTACTTCTGAAGTCTGACTAAGTAGAGAGTATGTACTTCTTCTGAAGTCTGACTAAGTAGAGGGCATGTACTTCTTCTGAAGTCTGACTAAGTAGAGGATATGTACTTCTGAAGTCTGACTAAGTAGAGAGTATGTACTTCTTCTGAAGTCTGACTAAGTAGAGGATATGTACTTCTGAAGTCTGACTAAGTAGAGAATATGTACTTCTGAAGTCTGACTTAGTAGAGGGTATGTACTTCTTCTGAAGTCTGACTAAGTAGAGGGCATGTACTTCTTCTGAAGTCTGACTAAGTAGAGGGTATGTACTTCATCTGAAGTCTGACTTAGTATAGGGCATGTACTTCTTCTGAAGTCTGACTAAGTAGAGGACATGTACTTCATCTGAAGTCTGACTTAGTAGAGGGTATGTACTTCTTCTGAAGTCTAGGTAGAGGGCATGTACTTCTTCTGAAGTCTGACTAAGTAAAGGACATGTACTTCTTCTGAAGTCTGACTAAGTAGAGGGCATGTACTTCTTCTGAAGTCTGACTTAGTAGATGGCATGTACTTCTTTTGAAGTCTGACTTAGTAGAGAGTATGTACTTCTGAAGTCTGACTTAGAAGAGGGCATGTACTCCTTCTGAAGTCTGACTAAGTAGAGGACATGTACTTCATCTGAAGTCTGACTTAGTAGAGGGCATGTACTTCTTCTGAAGTCTGACTAAGTAGAGAGTATGTACTTCTGAAGTCTGACATAGTAGAGGGCATGTACTTCTTCTGAAGTCTGACTAAGTAGAGGACATGTACTTCATCTGAAGTCTGACTTAGTAGAGGGCATGTACTTCTTCTGAAGTCTGACTAAGTAGAGGACATGTACTTCTTCTGAAGTCTGACTAAGTAGAGGACATGTACTTCATCTGAAGTCTGACTTAGTAGAGGGCATGTACTTCTTGTGAAGTCTGACTAAGTAGAGGACATGTACTTCCTCTGAAGTCAGACTTTTTGAAATTTATAATGATGAAACTTTATTCCAAAGACCAGTTTAAATATATTCTTTAGAAATTATATCAGTAATATCATGGAAAAAGATGTAAAAGATCAATTGTTAACGAAACTTGAGAGCATTTACCACAGCATTTTGATGTCATTTTTATCTGCATGACCGCTGCTGCAGTGTATCCAACTAATTTTCAGATGTGAATGAAAACAGTGTGACATCTTCATCAAGAGAGGGCGCCACCCACACCATCCGAGATCAGCACTCTCAAGGCCCAGTAGATGGCAGTCTGTATGCTACCGTCACTAAACGCAAACATGAACATGTTGAAACCACGAGCAGTACACTTTTTCAAAACGGCACATCACATGATCAACAAAATGGCTCCCATACATCCAGCGTGGATTCTGGTATCTCTGCATCCTCTTCCGGTATACCAGGCCTTGCATGTTTGCTTCTGGTGTAGCCAGGTGTAGCGTTTAGAGAGTAGCCAATCACAGAGTAGAATGCATTTTGTGCATCACTGAAGGAAAACAAAAAATTATTTGGTTTTAAAAACATCTTCATACTATTGATGACATTTTGTTGCACGTAGATTTTGGGGATGGTGTTTTGTGTATAAATTCACCTGCACATTCTATTATTGCATTCTGATTTTGTGGGTCGGTTTGAAGGGGAGAAAAAACAGGGTGAAAGTTCAATTATGGCACAAAGGTAAAAAATTTACCTATGAATAATTTGACCTCCTTTATTTGACATTTTGACCTTCACAGTGACCTTCATGCATCGAAACTGAGTGTATCCATTAGTGTGGAAGTTATATTTGTGAGAGTACAGGTGACTCCGTCGAAGAACATGTACTCTCACAAATACATGTTCTCCGACGGAGTCACCTGTCAGTAGGGACAATGATGATAATGCCCTCGCAAGCAGGTTCACAAAGATATATCAAAAACATGTACCGACATCGCCAATATTGTCCGGAAATGTTGGCAAGGTGACCACATGGAACTCATGTTGTGTGATTTCAGGGATGAACCTAAATATACGCCTGTAAATAGCACTCTCATTGGCTGTCTTCTACAATTCTAGGCCAATTTCTGGAGTTAATTGTGACCATCCTTCAGTGCCAACTATTGTTCTGTGGACGGGTTTGTCCTGGGATAGATATGTGTTCTGGCACTCGAGTCTGTACTCCCAGCCAAACTTATCAAAAACCGGGTGTCAGTTTCTTATCTTTAGATTATGATAAAATTAGGGGTTTGTGTGGAATTAGATTATGATAAAATTAGGGGTTTGTGTGGAATTAGGTTATGATAAAATTAGGGGTTTGTGTGGAATTAGGTTATGATAAAATTAGGGGTTTGTGTGGAATTAGATTATGATAAAATTAGGGGTTTGTGTGGAATTAGGTTATGATAAAATTAGGGGTTTGTGTGGAATTAGGTTATGATAAAATTAGGGGTTTGTGTGGAATTAGATTATGATAAAATTAGGGGTTTGTGTGGAATTAGGTTATGAAAAAATTAGGGGTTTGTGTGGAATTAGGTTATGATAAAATTAGGGGTTTGTGTGGAATTAGGTTATGATAAAATTAGGGGTTTGTGTGGAATTAGGTTATGATAAAATTAGGGGTTTGTGTGGAATTAGATTATGATAAAATTAGGGGTTTGTGTGGAATTAGATTATGCTAAAATTAGGGGTTTGGTTGAAATACTGAAGTAAAGGTTATAAATTGTCTTTTGAAAGATGAATTTTTTACTGTGTTTGTGTTAATTTGAAGTACAGTTTTTTTTTGTGGAAGTACAACATCACTGTTGATAAACCTGTTCTCGTTGACCTCCAGGTCTTTAAATTAAAGGTCATAGGTCAGCTATTGATTTGAAAAGTCAGACTTTCGCTGTCATTGTGAAAAACTACACCAGTTATAGTCTTTATCAAATTGATCAGTGTAAACTTTGAATTTATTAAAACAAAAGGATATATTGTTTACTAATCTAACATTAAGGTGATTTATTAAAACAGGGTTAATCTATCTCATTTTAAAGTCTTTTCCATTATATACCTTACACAAGTACTGGGGTTGTAGAACTGTTTGATGCCAGTCCAGTCTTTCTGTTGTACAGTATACTGTTTGTATATTATGTAGATAGGTGGAATGTACATGGTGTTGGTAAAACAGTCATTGACCGATGCTCTACATCCTAATTTATCTGGAGAGCTGTTCTGGCATTCCTTTACCTGCAATGCACTACATTATCAATAGTCATACTGGCACCAGGTTGGCTTCAGGTGAATATGGGGCCAAGGTAGGCTCCAGTAAGGCTGAATATATTTTTGACCAAAGGTAGGTCAAAAGGAAATGTAAGACTAAGTTAGGCACAAGTTAGGCCGAAAGTATATGAAGGCATCAGATAGGCCATAGGTAGTTGTAGGTTCTATAATAGGTTTCCTGGTTCATGGGAGGACCAGTATAGGACACTGGTACTAGAATATGTTTCCTGGTTTCTGAGAAGACCAGTATGGGTCATTGGTACTAGAATATGTTTCCTGGTTTCTGAGAGGACCAGTATGGGTCATTGGTACTAGAATATGTTTCCTGGTTTCTGGAAGGACCAGTATAGGACACTGGTACTAGAATATGTTTCCTGGTTTCTGGGAGGACCAGTATAGGACACTGGTACTAGAATATGTTTCCTGGTTTCTGGGAGGACCTGTATAGGACACTGGTACTAGAATATGTTTCCTGGTTTCTGGGAGGACCAGTATAGGACACTGGTACTAGAATAGGTTTCCTGGTTCCTTAAATGATTTACTAAAAGGCTCCATGTGTCTTTTTAGAACCAGATACAGATGATAGCCTTAGAAACAGACTATTTCTGTGGTGTGTACATCAAAAAATTGAAGTGGTAAATACTTTCTAATTATGTTTGTCAATAATTCATTCAGCTGGAAGTGATATCAGAATTAAGATCAGGGGAGACTTTGATGTTAACATGGCACCTTCAAAACTCTCAGATGTTTACTGTAAAATGGGTGGGAAATGAACGTAATCTCTAGCAAATTCAACTCTCCCATTCCATAACTTTTTTGAAAATATTTGAAAGTGTTCCAAATACAGAACAAAGTGGTTTGTCTTTTAAATGGTTATTAAGTTTCTCCTTCCTGTGGTTGGCAGGTGTGTGGAATAGAATTTAAACATTTTCTATTTTTTTTCTCCATGCAGATTTTGGAAAAGTGAAAAACAGGCATTTACATTCCTGTCTCTCAGCCTTAAGTTAATGATAGACAGTCTCAAATGAGGAACAGATTTTGCTGTTTTCTTAGTATTTATGAGTGTCTAAACGGGGTTTCGAATTCAAAACTCACAACAATCTTTGGATGTAACTACAAGTTGTCTTATTGCTGTGAGGTGGGTGTGTTTTTTTTCAACGTTATAATGGGCTTTCTCTGTGGATACTTCTCCCACCAGCCTGTTGCTTGTACATGTTGATGCCATAGTCATTCAGTAAATTGCCATAATAATGGTAATGTGCAATTAATATGTAGGGTTTTTTTAAGTAGATGACAACAGTCCCAGACCAACTTGTCTGTTGCCCATAGCAACCAATATCCACATTCCACAGTTGTGATTAACAACCAATGAACCTATGGATTGTGCTTTAGAGGCTGTGTTATAGGTATAATGAGAAGTCGACATAAGAACTGCGATTCCTCTTCTAGACAGTGACAGATGATTGGGGTAACCATGGCGATGGACCAAATGTTTGTATACCCATCATCAGAGCTCTGCTCCTGTTTAATTTCAAATGAAAAGCAGTTTAGAACATTCACTTGCACCTTGTCTATTCCGATTTCTTCTCATCCAAAGTAATTACCTGTGTATAAATTTGAAGAGACATAACAGTTTACTGTGTGTCCTGATACCACCAAAGCTACCACAATACTTTTACTATAGTGTCCATGATATAATGAAGTATCACTCACAGTATTCACAGTGTGAGAACGAGATTTCTTTGAAAATAAAAAAATTTCATAAACATGTATCAAATACTGGTAAACAGTTTGACTTGGACAAAAAATGGCAAGGGCTTTGACTTAATCTGTTTGTTCGAATTCTTCACAAGTATTAATGTGATGTAAGATCAGGAAGTCTGTGTTAGGTAGAGTTCTGGTCTAAGTCGAATGTTTCTTGGAATGTTCTAAAACATCATTGTACTATAATAGAAATTGCTGTGGATGGTTGGGATAATGTAAAAGTGATTACATGTCAGTTTGTCTATTGGGAAGTGAAGGGTCGTTTGGTCTTAGATAAGGTAATATAAGTTCTGATTTTGTCTTAAATTTGTGATAATTAACTACGATATGTCTGTCTGTGATTGGCTACTGTAATTTGTTTTTTTAATTTTGTTAATGTTGAAAAAAATTGTTTGTTGCAGTCTTTTCATGATTTTGAGAAATGATGAGATTAATATCATATTAATAAATATGTATAACTTGCTACACCTGGCTACAACCTTGTATATCCTATGTGAATTTCCATAATTTATATATTTTGTAGACAGAGTTTTGTTAACCAGAGTTAGCTCCCTTGTCATGTAAAGTTTTGTGTTAGCATTATTTAGACAATTTTTTTGTTCCTTAGAAAACAATTAATAGTTTGAGAAATTCTAATTTGTTTTCTTTGATATGGGAACTTTAACCTGCATGATAGATATTTTTGAAGTTAATGTTATATTTTTGTTCCTTGATAATAGTATCTTTGTCGTATTGCCCTGATGACGAATACACCAAAATATTCTCTCTACTTTTGTTCATATTAACAGTCTTTGATTGGTTACCTTAGTAATTAATAAACTGTTCCTTTTTGTGGTTAGAAAGGTTTTAATTAAATAAATGCAGAATTTTCCTTTTTATTTCTCTTTATTTGCCATTAATACCTCGAATTACTTATAGCGAGTATTTTGGTAACCATGGTGACACTTCTTGTATCGTTGACCTTATGGAATGTTTTTATTCCGTTTTTATTCCAATCAATGATGCATGGAGTTGTTTTATTTCTATCGTTTGGAACCAATTTCGTAATGATCATCAACATTAACCAGTCCCATGACATGTAATTAAAAACATATGTTACTAATTAGTGATCATAAAGACGTAATTCTATCATATATGCTTAAAAATATCTATATATATATACCTACTTGGTCGGCTTCCAGCATATATTGTATTCCTGCTTAACGATAATAACTACATGCTATACAAGGCTTTTGGATTAAGTACCAAGATTTTGGACAGTATTCCATGACTACCATGTCAAGTTGTTGTGAAAGATTAAGACTGGTGTTTGTGATATCATTCTGATCATATTTGTACAATGGCTGATTGAGACTGTTTGGAAGTCAATTTTTTTTAACGAACTGCCAGATGAATATGAAGCAGGTTTGTGATACAGATATATTTAGTTATTAATACATTTTGTTTCATAATTACTTAATGACAGATTCATTTGATTTGAACTGTTTGCCCTTTGTAAATGTATTTAGACTTGTCTATTGTGAAAGAACTGGAACATTCTACTGAGGTTTTAGGGTAAGTGTGTAATATCTTGTGGATGATTAGTGAATGTAGTCATAACAATGTATTTTTTCTGTTTCAGGTATCGCAGGTAATACCAGTTCAAATATGAACACCACAAGCACAAGCGTGAATATTACGCCTCAATATACAGCTAACGTTAATAACAACGACACGTTACACCAAAGCTTTTCCTCCACTTTGAACTCTTCCAAGTCAAGTTACAATAATGGTGTTTCGGGAGGACAGAAAAAGTCTGTTCCCCCGTTGGATGAGCAGACACAGTTGGACATGATTCTTAGTGACCTACTTAATGATTCAGTGTTTGTAAGTCCACAGAGTCCGCCAAAAAGTGGTGCTAATTCTGTTTCCAAGGACACACGGACTTTCCGAACATATGACACACAATCCACTCCAGATGGCAAAACTATGTACCAAACTGCTGAGGTTACTTATAAAATCCCAGGTGGTTACAAGGAAGAGAGAAATTATAGCATGACTAAAACTGAGGAGAAATCTTATGTGCCTAAAAATGCATTTAGTTATACTTCAGGGCCGACGTCCCCGGAACTTCAGCGAAAGGCTGAAAGTCCAAAGACTCACTCACTGCCCTACAGAACAGACTACGACAACCGCTATTACAGCAATAATGAATCAACATTTAATCGGACAATGGACAGCTCACGATCCATGTCCCCGAATGAACAGACCTCATCCTGGCTGCAGGAGCAGCAACAGAAACTGCGCCAGCGAAAAGACAGCAAGGATGAGAAAACTGTCCAGCAGGAACGCCAGCTGGTTGAGGAACTCAAGACGGCACAAAATAAGTACTTTATGAAGCGTGCTCATAACCAAGCTGAGGAACAGGCGACGATGGACACATATCGTAGTGCGTCATCACCGCCACCTGTTGCCAACGGACCTGTTTCATCATCCTACACCGTGACTCAAAACCACACATACTCAACAGATCGATCTGCCCATGAGCCAGTGCGGTCCTTCTCGCCTCCAAGCTTCACAGGTGACTCCTTCTATAGCACATCCTACAAGTCCACTAGCACTTCATCAACACAAAAACCACCCCCATCCCCGGGCCAACAACGTGCCCCACCCCCTATCACTTCCCCAGTTACTCCCCCTGTCAGAACAAGTAGTAAAGACTTCATGCAACGCTCCCGTAACACAAGCACTAGTTCATGGCAGGGGCGTGTTGGATCGAAGGAGCCAGAACAGGATATAAAACCAGCTGTTATACGAGCTATCAGTGTAACCACCCCTCCCCAATCCCCACGCCCATTTTCTCCCGTTCAAAAGCAGCAGACGTACCAAGTGTCCAGCACACGGACCATGGTCGAACAGCAGCCCCCGCAACGGGACCAGCAAATAGATATACAGATGACCTTGCCAGTGCATGCTCCAACCAAAACCAAGGTCACAGAGGTACAGGAATTTAGCCACCCAGAGGGTCAGAAGAAGTCACATTACATCACAGAAGTTTATGTCCACCGGACAGCTGGAGCAGACGGGACAGGTATGAAGCGACCAGCACCCGTCCCTCTACCTACCGTCAGGTTTCGCTGCCAATCACATCCCTGCATCTACCTTTCCTCCATTACTTCTTTCTTGTTTGAATGGCAAATTATTGGAATGAAATTGTTTTTTGAAAAGTTGCTTCCTGCCTTCAAAAAAAAAATCAACAAAATTCTGCCCTTGCTTTTTCTTGGCAGAAGGAGGAGATAGGTTTCCATAGACCAGACATACCTTTAATGTCATTGAAAAGTCTTCAGAACTTACTGCATTTCTAAGCTGTCAACAAGCATTTAAACTTCTTATACCACTTCTGCAGGTATATCCCCTTTTCCTGAAAAGGAAATCAGCTTCTTAATCAATTTTTAATTTGTAGATTTTTTTCTGATCAATGTTTGTAGTACTTTAATAGCTAAAACAAAATTTGGCTTTACAGGTCTAAATGATAAAGAATAAATTGAAATGTGGAATATTTCATTTTTATTTTCTCAGTTTTTCGTCTGAAATCAACAAATTACAGCTTCAAATGCTTGGGCTTACATGTGCTTTGAATATTGCAACATCTTCAAGAAAAAAGACTTTTATTTGAAATTTTTGATAAAATACAAAATAATGTGAATGCTTCATTACAAACTTGCTTAATCCCAATTCTTACAGGATGATGGCAGCTTTAGAATTTTGAAGGCTAGTTTACAAGAAGGATAGGAACAGACTTCGATGATGACTGTTTAAATGCTTCTTGTCAGTTATAGATATCAGTGTTATTTATGGGATGTGATATGGAAGTGATTCCCGCTGCTAGGGTACAAATTAGCTTCATCTGCTTTGCCCAACATATCGGTCCATTGTATTTATTTTCCTGCACATAAAAATTTTACAAGTATATTCCAATGGATTCGCTGCAGTTTTACTTCCATTTGGATGTTGTGAGCACTTTGATGTTAAACATTTTTGCACATTTTTGCATTATTTATATATAATTCAATTTTTTATCAATTAATGATGACTTTTATCAACCCACTTTTTATTTCCTGTATGTAAAGCACAGATGACTAATTTATCTGTGATATATATCTGATTTATTTTTTCGGCAAGCTGCTTCTAAACTTACACTAAGAATTAACTGTACAATATTTTGGAAATGATATTCATCGGTAAAAATCCTTCGGTAGAAACCAGACTTAAGAAAGAATTGATGGGCTTGTAATATCCAAAGCAGATGAGGAAAATTTGCTTATTTGTGCTGTTGCCGAAGGAACGTGAGAAACTGAAATGCGTGCAAATTACTTTCCTTGCCTTTCTGCTCTGCATTGCCATATATGGTCATGGCTATGCCTCTTGATATCATTCGAGGTTGTGATTGGCCAAGTGTGTGTAACCTTTGACCTTGTGTATGTGACTACCAGGATGTTGTGTATAATTGTAACATTATTGTACTTAACAAACTCATAGCTCTCTTCCATCTGTAAACACTCTTGAATTTGATTACATTTTGATTCTGGTTTAATTCCCAATTTTTTTTTTTAAAGATTTATGGTGCGTTTGAATTTCATTCATATTTTCAGAAACATTTTCCATTAGTCAATATTAAAGACCAAGTATCAGCTAAGTCCTGATTGTAAAATTATACAAATTTTCAGGATAGATAAATTAACAAAAATGAAATTAAAGCAATAGATTTATCATATATATAATATTAAGAAATGGATGAGATTATGTTCAAACATTTGTGGAATGAAATTGTAATCATAGACTTAATGGAATTTTCAAAATCTAGTTTCTGACAACAGTTCTGTCTTCTTTATCTGTAGACGTATTTTCTTTCTTGTTTGTAAGATGTCATTCTTCTCCAAGATATTTATGTCAGGTTGTTTTGTACTTTAAAATGTTCACCAGACTTTCTGTTGGTGTTCCAGCTGCCATTTTATCATCATAACCTTTGACCTGACATATTTATGTATGATTCCTTTACAGCTAATCAGGATGTGTTTTATATCCTGAGGGTCACCATGGGCTTTTGTACAAAAAAATCCCTGCTGGACTGGCAAACCCCCATTCCTCCTACCCTTAAGTACCCTTTATATCAAAACTCCCAGTGACCTTCCACCCTGAGTTATTTCCCCTTTCCATAAGAAAATACCTATTACAAAATCACAATGCAGTTTTAGTGCTGGTAATAGGTCTTTAATGAAAACTTGCAGATATTTCACTTTTATTCTTCAATGCTTATTTGACTTATTTCTTTCTTTTACTTAATATAGCTTTTCTAATTTACAACTAACCTTCTAACAACAGATTTCCACAATTGAACACAATTAATTTGCATAGTAATATGATTTTGAATATCTTGAATATATTTAGATTTAAAGAATTTCAAATGTTTAAAGGAAAGCAAATCCAATGTTATTCCTTTTATGATGTTCAAAAAGATCATAAAACAATAAATTTTGTATTTAGCTATTACAAGAAATTTAGAAATAATTTCAATATTTTCTGTTTTAAATACACACATATTTCTAATTAATTAAACTATTAATCGGAAGCGTAAGTATCGATTTATTCAAATTCACAAATACTACATGTACTAACATTTCTTCATTAATTTTTATTCTGTTTCTCAATTTTTTTAATATTAACCTCAATACTTACATGTTTTGTTTTTTTTTTTTCCTATTTATGTTGTTATTTATCTGCATGAAACATTGATTTAATTATTTATAATTTATATTTCTAATAAATTTCATGATTTTTTATAAATGATATGAAATGGACTAGTGCTTCATTGGAAAGTAATTTTATTTCTGTTGCATAGAAGTTCTAATTTTCTTTTGCAAATCTATATTTTGTTTCAAGAAATTTTCTGCAAATACATGTAATAGAGTTTGATAAAAATAGGAAAAGACTGAGAATTATATCAAATTAAAATCATTAGAGATGAGATGAAAGGAGTAAAAAAATATCTCATAACATGTGCCCAAGACTTGACCCAAAGTAAGGAATTTCATCTCTGCAGGAAATTAATAAGATATGACAAGGGAGGTAATCCATTAAATATATCTAGTGGTAAAAGATAAAAGGGGAGGTAATCCATTAGATATGTCTAGTGGTAAATTATAAAAGGGGAGATAATCCATTAAATATATCTAGTGGTAAATTATAAAAGGGGAGGTAATCTAATAAATACATCTAGTGGTTAAAGGGGAGGTGATCTATTTCTGTTAGCTCCCTTGAATATTTAGAAAAAACATATCAGATACAGATGTCTTTGAAATATTTCCTTTCTCTCATCCCTGGTGGAAAAAAATTAAGGAAAAAAAAAAATGGAAAAATACAAGCTACAGATAAATGTAACTTTGCTGATTGTAGTAGGTCAGTATTAGATGTATAACATGCTCTTTCCAGGTACAACACAAAGGAGTACAACAGCAGAACAGAAGGAAAAAGTGGAAAAGGAACGCAACCGATTGGAAGAATTGGAAAAATCTCTTCAGGCTGCTTCTAATTCTATTATCGCCACAACACCATGGCAACAACAGCAGAAGAGCTACTCAACAACAGAACGACAAGTGACAAGGCGTGTAGAGACGAGAAAATATGAGACACAAAATTTTCAACAGCAGCAACAGCAGCAGCAGACACAGTCTGTGAGTAGTTATGATGGACAAGGAGAGGTTCCACCCCTTTCCCCACCTCCTCACCAGAGAAGCACGTCACCCGAGTGGGATAACATGAATATGCATGGTTCCTTTACGGTAGTACGTATACGTTTACTTACCACTACTAACTTCACAGAGTACCTGTTATCCTCAAATCCTACAAAATATAATTACAGAGAAGGCATACACAGAGTTATTAACATACCTGATCTTGTCTGTCTCAAGTCCAAATTACCTGTATAATATTTAGAAACACAAAACTTTTTTGTATCTAATAAATCAAAATTAATTTCATACCTGACTCAAGGATATACTATATGCTATTTGTAAAGCCTTCCATTCTTGATTTTTAAAATGACTTTGATTGAATATGTGACCACTGTAAAATGGTGACACTGCACACATAATATTAAATTTTCAGGTTCCTTGAAAGTTTCAATTGACTACACAATTAAAAACAAATTATAAGTTTGAATTGACAAAAAACAAAGAAAACTTAATAGATAGAATCATTGATTTCAAACAGAGTGATGAAGGGAAGGTAACTTTTGCAAAACAAAAGCACATGTTATTTAGGTTGAGGACAACAGGTACATTAACTGATCCTCCACAATATCAAACCGTTACAATTTTGTCGTAAAATTTTGGTAAAAGTTTTCAGTAGATGTAATGATTATGATTTCAAAATAACTGTTGTGTTTCAAAGTTGGTTATGACGTGAGGTTTATAGAAACTGTTTCTGTTTGTTGAGGATCTGATATTGTACTAAATGAAGCTTAAACATGAATGTGTAATTTATCATTTGATTTATGGTATTTTGTAGAGGTCACATAAAAGGTTGTGTAAGCCTCTCACTCCTCTCCCATTCCATTCCCCTATCACCGTTTATCATCCTTAATATCAGTATTATTTTCACCCCACAATGTTTGTAATATTAAGAATTTGCAGTTTTGTTTCCAACTTTAATATCTGACTATAAGTCCACCCATATTTTTATCTGTTCAGACAGAAATTTCAACACAAAAACACAAAACTAATTCATTGTCAAGTCTAACCCCACTTTTTGAATCAATGACTATGTATGACCCCTGGTCTTTTTTGATGGATATAGCTGATGTGTGGTCCCTGTTATAGCATACAAATATTAATTTTACATTTGAAATTTGAATGTTGACACATTTCCTTATACCCTTCAAAATGTTGGTTTTAAAAGGAGAGAGGAAATGAGAAAGTTGAATATCTTCCAAGAAGGTTATCAGATGTGAATAACAGGCAAGAGATGAAGTTCAATAGTTTACCAAGGTCAGAGGTCAGTGAGAACAGTGAGACTAGTGAGGTGGGAACTCAGAGATCTTTTGTGGAAGTCAATTCAGCTTTGAACAATCTGCTTGGAGAGTTGACTGCTTGGACAAAGGAGTCACCTGATATGACCTTGAACTATGACCTTGATTCATTGAAGGTTACTGCAGACAACATGTCTTCCACAGAGAATCAAAACCTGAAAAGTATTGACCAGAAACAGGAAATGGTTGAGGTCAGTCCAACCAAACTGAGTCTCTCCAAAAGTCATACTGGCCAAAAGGGAGATAACTTTAACAGTCAAACAGCCCAAAGAGAAGATAACTCTTTCCAAAGGAATCAAGCAGAAATGGATGTCCATTGGGGAAGCTGTAGTCGGAGGAGCAGTAAAGACGAATTGGAGTATGATAGTGACAGAGGTAACAGAGACTTTGTGTTGGGGACAAGGAGTCGAGAAGAACTTCTGTGGGGCAGCAACAGCCGAAGGGGAAGTAGAGATGAGATACTGTCACATGATGGAAGTCGGAGGGGTAGTAGAGATGAAATGCTGTCACATGATGGAAGTCGGAGGGGTAGTAGAGATGAGATACTGCCACATGATGGAAGTCAGAGGGGTAGTAGAGATGAAATTCTGTCGCATGATGGAAGTCGGAGGGGTAGTAGGGACAAAATACAATCACGTGATGGAAGTCGGAGAAGTAGTAGGGATGAAGTAGAAGCAGGACAAAAGGTAGATGTTTATATTGCTACTAGTCAGCAAGTAGCTACTCCTCAGAGCCTTGTTGCCAGTGAATTCAGGCCACATAGAGAAGAAGTCCTGACTGATGACGAGATTGATGTCTCTGTTCCAAGTTTTGGATTCCATTCAGAAACTGTCACCAATTCTGCTGAAGTATGTCCTGTTACAGGGGCGAGGAGCGCAGAGAGACGAGAACAACATGTTGCCGTGATACACGATGAACAACCTGGATTGAAGAGGACTCAAACTCAGCAATGTGAACACACAACATCCTCAACACATGTCCAGCCAGAAGTGACCATTCATCAGAGAGGAAATACCACAAACTGGTCAAGTCAAATGACCTCACAATCAAACCAACTCAGACAGACTGGTCAGTTTGTACAAGAAAATGTCAGTAATTTAGAGCCGATGCCCCTGACCAGGTCTGCCCAGAGTTCAGGTAAACATGAGTGTACCATCAACGTACCTGGTCAAGGAGAGCTGAGTGCTGACCAACTGGGGATGCTTCATACCTATCTCACAGAAGGAGGGTCTTCTCTTAAAACTGACGGGAGGGAGGCGTCTGTTAAAACTGCTACAACAATACCTGGTGTTCAAGTGGAACTCGCCAATGAAGCTACTGGGTCAAGTAACAGAAGGCAGGCAGGAAGACAGGAACCTGATCTGAAGATGAACCGCGGAACATCTGAATTTGATGTGGATGAGAATGGCCACTACAGTGTAGTAGATAGATCGCAGATGTCTAAGTCATCCAACAGGCAGCAATATGTCACATCAGATTATCAAACCATTGATTCTGTTCAAGGATTAGAAAATACTACAACAACTAACGAGTCCACAAGATTTGCCAACACTACTGGGATGAGACAAAAACATTTCCTCACCTCAGAATACCAGACTATAGACTCTAAAGAAACCACAACCCTCACAAAGTCAAATTCACAGGCAGAATTCACCGTCACAGAATCCAACACAGCAGCAGATGAGGTGATCTACAGTCAAGTGATCAAGAAGAAGGTAAAACAGAGTTACCTCCCTTCAAATGATGTTCTCTGACTCGTCACTGATGAAAAACTCTGTCTAATGCAACCAATTACTTTTCTTGTGGATGAAAGATCTCTGCAATTTGGATGAATGTTACAAATCACTTTCTTGTAGATGAAGTTGAAATCGATCTAGCTGTCTCCTCTGATACGCATCTCAAATATTTTTCTTTGACACATGAACGAAGGTTTGCAAACTGTATGAATCTGATTCCGTCTATGTTATACTATTTTATAATCTCATCCCTCTGAAACACTTCTAAGAATTGCAATGTCCTTTTTATGATGACTTTAAACATTCAGACTCTTTTAAATCTGAAAATTATATCCATCTTTATTTCGTCACCCTCCAGTTTTCTCCCTTTTTCAAAGTTTCCTCCATTTTGAAATATTAGTTCTTTTCCTACTGTCCCTGTCTTGTTTCCTCTTACTATCCCGGTCTTGTTCCCTCAAAGTCTAGCACATGTTCTTGTCAACCAGAAGTCTTTAAGTGTTTCAATAATAACTGACTAACAAGAGCTGCATCAGTCGCCTGCTGCATGATGGGAAAATCCTACATGGATCTTAGGTTTCCGACGTTCTGCTGTACTTATTTGTGAAATACTGGGATGAAAACAACAGCATGGATATTACTAATGATGTATACTCAGAACTTGTCAAATTATGTTTTGCTTTTTCCAAACTTTAAAGTGCAATTAATACAACATTTACTCATACAAATGTGAATGTTCGAATGTAAAGCACCTGACATCAAAATGTACTCTATTGAAAAACATTGAAGGAATATGAATGAAATTTTTCTAAACAAATTTAATTTTGAAAACTTTAGTTGTAATTACCGCATTTTACCAGATCAGGAGGAATTCACCTTTATCCATTTGATGTTCATATTGCCTATGAATGCCAACTGGAAACAGTGCAGTATTTGAATATTTAATTAGTTTATTATGTTTTAGGTTCATAGAGCATAGTGTTGCATTACTGCATGAACACTTTGTTACAAAGACAATGTATATAAAAAACATATATATATGTATGTATTTAACCACTAATGAAGCATGAACATAAAATACATTCATACATGAAGGATATCGATACTTATATACATATGACTCATTTGACCTTTATGTTTCAAGTATATATTTTTTTCATTTAATTTCAATTATTTCACATTCCATTAGATTCCATTGAAGCTTGCCTGATATATAACATTGTAGTCGGTTGTGTGAAACTGTATCAGAGATGTCAGATTTCACTACGGAATCAATTAGATCTAAAAATAAACCCCAGATTTCAATTTGGGTTCTTTATGACTCAAACCTTGATTCTGTGTTATGCTTGCCTGAGATTTGATTTGATAAGTGTACCTATAATTTATACTGTATAAGCTTGTACCTTGGTTATTCTTTTGAATCTGGACATGATCGGCTTTATTTTCAGTTTTCTTTCTTTAGGGCAAAAAGTTGCCTTTTAATCATATAAAAGAATAAATTTGATCTGATTCACAATTCATTTTACATGTCTTCAGAAGTTTTATAAATATGTATACATGTTTATTGTGTTTTGAACTGAACATCAGATTACCTGTATACTGGACCTTAACCAAGATAAAAGTCATACAAGTGTATCGTGATGACCGGAATTTAAATTAAGTCGGCCATTTTTCTTTATGAACAGAACCAGGTACAAGCTATAGCTCCACCACCTCCGAAACAGATCAGTGTCGTGGAGGAAGACAAGATCAGTCTCCGCCCGATAGGCCCTGGAGTTCAGACACTGGAGCCAGAGGGAATGGGAACCATGGGACGTTCTGGTGCTACCACACCAAGCTTTCCCGTTAGCCCAGTCGCCTCAGCAGGTAAGGGAGATCACTCATCACTATCTTCATGTCATATACTTTTGTGACATCAGTCTTAATAACACTAACAACATATGGTGTACCTTTTCTATGTCACATTCTTGGGTTTCCATGTTTTTGGGAATGAATCTTAATAAACTACATATTCACAATCCACAATATTTCATTCTAAGTTAGGAATATTGAGGAAATTGTAATCCAAATAAAATTTCAATAAATTGTTCAATTTATTAAATTTGAGAAATTAAACATATTTTACTGTATGTTTATCTTAGTTATCATTTCAAAAATTTTCAATCTTAGTCTTTGTTCAAAGGCTTTTGTCTTCAACAAGCTGTCTTCTAAAAGCTGTGCTTTTCAGTCATGTTGAGTTCAGTACAATGAGCGAAAATTTGAAAAGATTACTTATATATTTCTGTCTGCAATCTCAAAATCTGGAAAATCCATTTCATTACTGTAGGTTATCATCGGTGTTATCACATCATTTAGAGAACTTTACCGATCATGTTTTAGTGATAGCTTCTTTGTTGATCATAGCTTTCCACAGATTATTTAGAGATCTGTTTTTAAGTGTTTCCATCACAACCTTTCCACAAATGATTTAGAGATCACTGTCTCCTTATCCAGTTGTTAGTGTTTACCTCTCTAACATGCTTCCAAATGTAATTTAGAGACAGATATTTCCTGTTCCTGTTTTTAGTATTAGCCTCTCTAGATGTAGGACATTCTGATCATTGCTACTAGACATGCTGTTTGGTGCTAGTCATCCTGAGATATGAGTTTTGCCACTAAATGCATTTGTTCTTGTCAGCAATTATGTATGTGTTTGTATCTTAGCAAAAAATTCTGTCTCAGTTGTCTCTAGCTTCAAGATCATTGAAACGTTTATCATAAATGAATAAGGACATATATAAGCATGAGAATATATTTCATGGTTGAGTTAATTTAGTTTGAAGAGTATTGAAAAGATATTTAATGTCTTCACATTTTCATCAGTAGTTATAAGACACTGATAAAGTCTTTCAATGGTTTTATTCCAAAAATGGCATAAAACGTTTCAAAATATTTTAGCCAGAATTTCAGACCTATCTCTTTGTGTCATGGAAAACTCTAAAACAAATTAATTAGAAGCCCAACATTGTGATAAAACTACATATTTAGCTTGAACATTGGACTTAAAATTTCAGATCTCTTATATTTAGATGATTGTAAGTAATAACGGTTTCATTTCCAACAAGTTTGCACTGAATGTTTTTTTCGCAGCCAATCAGAAATCAGCTTACATGACACTCTTGGCTCATTCATATGTTCTAATCTCACATTGACACTCATTGGTGAAGACAGACAACCAATCATTATCCATTATTAACAATTTTTGCTTTCTCATCCAGTTCATAATCCCACCTTGGGTATCCCTTCCCAATGATATAGAAGCTTGTATACCTAATATTAACACTAATCTAATTCAACACAACAGAACAGTTTATCCAGGCCGTACAAGCTAAAGTACGCCGATTGTCCCTCGGATCTAACCAGGATTTGCATGGTAAAAGAAAAAGTTTCATTAACCCTCTCTTTCTTGTAATGATGTTGTAATTGTTTTGGAATAAAATCCCTTCCTCCCAAATGGTTACATCTGCTTTGAATGAATGTTACACTTCTGTATGTAGTTTGTGTTACTGCAAAGCTATTTCAACAAATTGTTTTCCACTTAGCTTGCCAAAATGTGTGCATGTGTAGTTATTGAAATATTGTCAATATTACCTAGCTGGATGTGAAGGTTGATTGACTGAAATATTCATCAGTACTCTTCTGTAAAGATTTCACCAAAAAATTATGACACAATCTCTTTTGGCTATAAGTTACTGGTACAATGGATTTCTTCTTTCCAATTTCAAACTGAAATTTGAATGTGAATTTTATCCGGAAATTTAATTCATTAAAACAATAACAAAAACAGGTGTTATCTTTTCTGATATAATTAACCGGTATTTTGCTTTAAATAATTTTTACATGTACTTTCTAATTTTAATATTGACATTTTAATTGACTTTATAAAACATAATTACTAACGTGTTTTGTTTATTTCACTCTTAGATTAACAAGGAAGGAAAAATCATTAAACATTAATTTATTCAAAAAATGTTTGAAATATTAAGTTATTGCAAATAATAGATATGCAGTTTTGTAAGCTTGACATTTCACCTCTTTATGATCTTGCTACCTTATCCTAGAGTTACCTTGATATGACCTTGAAATGATATGCATTCTTTGTTATGACATATAACTATATACAACTGTACATGATTGTTAACATGAAAGCTTTACTAGATTTTTTTTTCCATTTCTTACTGTTAACTGTTACAATTATAAGGAATTGTTTTATTAAGCAATATTGTTTTTTTATCATTAATTTGGTATGATGAAAATATTTTTCTTGTGAAATTGTATATATGGTGTTGAACCTAAAAAGCTACCTCCCTTTAATCAGTCCAATTCTTCAAGCAAATTTCATTGTCAAAGTTATACAACCAATCTCATCCCTAGGCACCCAGCTGTGTGTCTATAATGGAGTGTATTTATGGTACGCATGGACAGAAAATGTGAACTTTGTTTATCTAAATATTATTTCTTTGCATGTATGTCAATTCTTTGTCAATGATGGATAAATGTTTTGAAAACTATGAAAGTGACTGGTGAATGTTTTAAATATGGAATGAATTTCTCATGCAAACAACTTCTGTTTTAATTATTTTGATATTTTTCACTTTAAATTATTTACTCTTTTCTTTAATGATTTAGATTTCTTTAAATCTTAAAAATGAAAGTTTAATTCAATCACAATAAAAACACTGTTACTACTAAACTAAGAAATACATTATTTAGATTCATCTTTTTTCAAAAAGAGAATATATCATATTAACATAATTTACAGTTACCGGTACTTGTTCTGAAATTAAAAATTATGTGAAAAAACAATGTTAGCACAATAATTCTTAAAATGAAATTAAACATTAAATATTGAGGTTTTTGAAAAATATCAAAGTAGGAGAATTTGAGGTTGTGTTAAGATTATCTTTGAAGTGAAATATCTATTGGTTTGAAATCCTGATTGATGTGATTATTATAGATGTATGCATTGTGTTTACAGGGATGTTTTTAATACAAATATAAATCAGATGATTCCAATATGAATATGGTGTATGTTATATGGTGTTGTGATGAGTTGGTGATGTAAACTTGAATGTGGTCTGGTATTCAAAATACAAGTAAACAAAAAAACAAAAAACAATTATTGAAACAATCATATTGTATGTAAATTTTCCAAAATCAAACCTTTTGAAAATATTTCTTTCCTTTCAGATTTTATTAGAAGGAGGGAAGCAATTCTTTTTTTTAATGTTTTACTTGAAAATATTTGAATTTTGTTGAAAAAATAAATCGAATTGGAGTTGCTTCCCTTACATAGAAAATGTTGTTTGTGCTTGTGTTTTCAAAGGCTATGAATATTTGTGATGGCTTTTGTGCTATTTTCTGCATTTATGTTTGATGGTTTTGGTTGGTAATTATTGTGGTTTTGTTTCTGTTTTGCCTGCGGTTTCCATAGCAACTCCACCATTCCCTGTGTCCCCCAGGACTCCATATTATAACCAAGGTAACATTTTCATTTCATTTTTCCGTTTTATTTTCATCTTCATCATTTTGTTTGTTTTTTTGTCTGTTTCTTTTTATTTCAGTTGTATTTAATGCTTATGGAATTGCCTTTTTATTTTTGTTTTATTTTGAAAACAACCAACTTATTAATTGATTCATACAGACAGTATTATGCAAAAGACAAATCGACTGATAGATGCTATCAGTCAGTAGCCATTTTTGCAAGGGATTATGGGAAGGGAAAAGGCATGATAGAAGCACATTGGTGATGGCTTTAGTTGTAGTGTTGTGTTCACATATTAACTTGGCTTTTTGGATTGTGTTCTTTGTCTTTAGATATTTATGTTGTTGACAATTAACATTTCTCACAATATTTAAAGCCAAAACTAGGATATCACTTTTAAACAAAGGTAGTAAAATGTTAGGAAGTCTACACTTATTTTGGGACATGGCCCAAACCATCTCTATTGACACTTTCTAGATTTACAAAATATATCTAAAATTTACCTTACTAGCATCAATTAATTTATTCATAATTTCAGAAATCCTATCTGTCCAACAGAATGAACTTCTTCAATTCGTTTTGTTAGTTAGCCAAAAAGAATTGTATTTCTCTAAGGCTCTAAAACATACCTGGTATTCATTCAATAAACACTCAAAAAACCGGTGACAAGTAGGGTTAACAGAAAAGTCAAACAGTTGATATGTTTTGGATCTTGTAGACATGGCATTTTATGAAACTGTTAGAAATAACCAACAGTCTGATATAACGATTTGCCTTCATAACTATACCACCTATAGACAGTACCTTGGGTTAAAATTGATGATGTCACACACTTGGTTTCAATCTTTTGAAAATATGATCCTGTATTTTAGAAATAAGTCTCTCAGCAGATTGCTTGTTACTTATCTGTTTGCTGTTTTGTTTTCTTTGTTTTTCATTTTGCATGCAATTTCATTTTTCTCATCACACAATTTATCGAGAATTAAATGTTACCAAGTTTATTTAATTTAATATTATCTGATCAATGATATTTCTTTATTATTGTAACTTATTTCAAACATGTAGGAATATTTGTCTACTTGTAGTCTAAATATAGAACATGGTGAAATATGAAGAAGTAAAGGAAAAGCCTACAAAGTCAAAAAAAAAATTCATTGTAAACATATAAAAAAATGATAATTCTACTCCATTTTTTTTCCTTTTTTTTTTTTCGTCTTTTTTTGCTTTTTTTGATATTTGACATGTACAGAAGTCGTTTGACTTTTCCTGCTGCTTGGTTCATTGGTGTCCATTGAAGAATGGACAATATATTTTTATCTGAAGGCTGCACATCATGAAATAATTCTGAAGATAAATTATCTTTCTCTTGCCAAAAAAAGCTAGTTTTGTAGCTTTTGTTTTTCTCTGTTAGCAAGTGTATCAATTGTTGGCTTTCTTCTTTGCTTTTTCATAGCATCTTTGTGTTGGCTTGTTTTAATTTAGTCATTTTGATGGCCAATGGTATAATTATCACAAAAAGTTTTTGCACCAAGTGACCAATCAATTCTGATTAATTAAAAAAAAATGATATTATTCATGAAATATAGATTGTGTGATCATATATTGCATTCGTGCTTTCGATAATTTTTTGAGACAGTCTTTGATCGGTCACAAATTTAAACAAAGGGTGATTGGTAGTTTAGATCAACCTGTTCATAAATTACAGATAGATTAACTCGCAGAAAAAAGACTAAATCTTAAAAATGTGAGATTCCAATATCAGGAAAAAATTCAGATATACATAGATATGTTAAAAGATTAATTATGAAAACCTCTTAAATAATCATTTATAATGAATTCTACTTGGTTTGACGTTTGTTTTTCTGGAATCTAAATGTCATTTCTGTTGAGCCAGTCCTTACCGATCATCTTTTGAAAAAAATTGTAGAAATTTTGAAACTCTGCATTTTCAGCTTCATAAGTGATCTGTAATGACAAGTTTTGTTTCAAAGTTAGTAAATGTATATTGAATAATATAGAATCTCTCTTTTTTTTTACTAACTCCAAGTTAGTTGTTGTAAGTCCACTCTAATCACTTAGTGACATGTAGCCTGCATTTTGTTCGTACTAAATCTTGTGCATCTTGCCTTCTCCTCTTGTCGCCATGGCTACTGTAGCGCCCACGCCGACATTGTCGCCCTCCTCACCATTCGCTAGCTATGACAAAGATGAGGCCTACAATAATATGGTCGCGCGACAGATTTGTCGTGGCTCCGACCCGCTTTATGCTTCCATCCCTGAAGATGTCGGGGGCCTCAGGCGATCAGGTATTGTCATGACAACTGCCACAAAAAAAGTTTTATTTAAATACGAAGCGAAAATGTTGAAGACCTCCAGCTATAAATGAAACTTTAAACTGGCTTTTAGCTTTGTTTTTGATGGGGGATACTTTTAGATTTTAGAATTTGTTTACATTTTGTTTCTTGCAGAAAAGAATTTCCAAAAATATATTTCAATTTTAAAAGGAAAAATGATTCAAAGTTGGAAAATAAAGAAATTGTGTAGAATTTGACATGAGAACTTATATACATGATGTTAATTAAAATGAATTGGAGAATTTCAGTATTAGATCGAGATTAAAATGCGTTAAAAAAGAAATTTGTATGATTAAAGACGACCTCTCTAACTGTCACATGACACTGCATGGAATGATTCTGGTCACCCTTAGTCACTGCACTGTCACATTATTCTGCATGAAATTCAGACCTACAGATAGATTTAATTGAATGCTTACAAGAGTTAAACACTGTAGGAAGTTATAAAAGTTTGACTATTTTTTGGCATGAAATTAATTTTGAAATTTAATCAATATGGGATGTTTAGGCATTGAAGGGATGAAAACATTGTCAATCTTAAATTGATGTACGTTTTGAAAATTTGTTTATCACAATACTGATCATCATTCACATTTCAGGAACAATTTATTATCTTATATTTGCTTAAGAAGCCTTTCGATGAACATCCCAAAAGTTTCAGGTGAATTTTTCAAGAATATTGACATGGAAAATGCACTAAGGTGACGATTGTTCTTTTCCAATTTTTTTTTATAAGAAACGATCCTGAAATGTAAATAATGTTTAGTGAACATAAAGTATGCAGTTTTGAATGATGAACATTGATCATTAAATTTATGCTCAAGCTGTTGTTTGCTCTTCAGCTGGCAGTGTGTCAAGCCCGTTCAACACGGTGTCATCGACGACATCCCAGCATCACCTCACCCAGCATCATCAACAACACCAGATGCACCATCAGCAGCCACCGCCACCACAGCAACATCAAGTCATCCAACAGCAACAGCAACATCAGCAACAACAGTATACACAGCAACAACAACATCAACAACAGCCGTTTCCACAACAACCACAACATCAGCAGCAGCAGTTTACACAACAACAACAACATCAGCAGCAGCAGTATACACAGCAACAACAACATCAACAACAACAACACCAACAACATCAGGTTAGTTATTCCTCTATCAGGCAAGGTATATCTGTTTGTAAATTAGCTTATATTTCCCTAACTTACGTGATTGAGGAGACAAACAATTAAAAACTAACAATAAATTATTGTGGGTGAAATGTTTACACCAACCCAATAGAACCTTATGATTTGGGCGTTTTTAATTTGTCTTACACTTAAATGTACTTGTTTGTGATTGATATAACAAGATATGGAATTAGGTGAGAATGTTGGAGACTTATATCTGAATTAAATTTTCAGATATATTCTAACTAATATTATTTGTGGAATAAAAATTTTTTTACATCGTTTTAACTTCCGTTACTTTTTCTCCCTGTTTTCTTTTCCTTTGTTTTTGAAGCAGATATTGAAGTAGAGTAAGTTTTAACATCAGACAAAATGTTTTGGCAGTACCAGTACCAGCAGGAATACCATACCGGAGGACGTCACCAGTCTGGGAGTGTGTCTTCACAAGATGCTGGACACATCCTTCATGTGGACACTAGCCCAAGGATGATCTCTCCTGGTGGCTCCATGGCCAGGACACCAACCAGGTAATCATACCTCCATTTAATTACCTCCCTTTGTAATTATCAACTAACATGTGTATCAAAATGTTTTTCTGTGTTTTAGCTGTAAAGGATTCTGAAAAATATTCCTTTTTAATCGTTTACTCATTCACCATGACATGAACATTTATTTTTATATTTTTACATTTCTCTACGTATTTTGATGTTATCTTACACATACTTTCACAGTCATTTACCACAAGATTCATTATTTACAATAAAAGAAACATAAACATTTACATTTAGTTGGAAATGACCTTTTGTTATATGTATCAGGTCATTTTAATTTTCTGTTTTGATTCTCTGATATAATTAGTACAGGAAGTAACAAGTTCAAACCCATCTATCATAGAAAGGTGTCTGGTAAATATCTGATATAGATAACTGTCAGAGTGGACAATTGACTGATTTGTCTTTAGGGGACACTGACTGACAGGGTCTGTCATAGTTTGTTGTTATTGATTCTGACAGACTGTAAATAATCATTGTTAGAGAGATATGTAAATAACACCGGAAACCTTTTGTATTTTATAAACTTCACCTAAAAACAAAAAGAAAATTATATATATGTTAAGGGGGATGGTCCATTAACTTTGTACTCCTTTTTTTATCTCCGCCATCTGAAGAGTTCCATGATATCAGTTACACATATAAAAAAGGCTCAACAAGAACATTTGAAACCTTATCTATAGATAGAAATGTTTGGAGAAGTTTTACTGTTATATAATGTCACCAATACTTTTAGGACCTCTGTTTAAAGCCTGGATAGCTTTATAACATTTGATTTAAAGACAATTTTTGAAAATAATTGCTGTATCAGTATTTTAGTTGTCTAACAGACATAACAAATATTTCCGAAAATGGTTTAAGGCAGTGTCAGAAACATTGTTTGAACAACTTCCAAACTGAGAAGTTAATTTTGAGTCCTATACAAGAGGCAATAAATTAAAGATAAAACACACTTGTTAAAAGAGAATGTACAATTTTAAAGTTCTGCTTAAGAGAGATTGTAGTCATGAGTAATTTCACTTATATAGAACTGAAAACTTGGTGCCAGATTACAGAATGATTTGTTTAATCTTTCTCCAAAACACCACAATTTACATATGAATGGCTATTTGAGGGAAAGTGATTATCAAAGTGGCAATGAAAAGCTAATTGTGTACCTGAGGTTTTCTACTAAAGACAATCATAAATTACATTACCACACATCAAAGTAAAATGTTTCTTTTGCCTGTGACTTGAGGTAACTCGGGTCAGGAGTTGAAATTCATTACCATAAATTAACTGGTGTGGGTTATGTGTACCTGAACAAAAATACCTAGAAACAATGTGTAGGTCTTACCTATAAATTCATGAAGTTCTGACCAAGATAAAATAACACTGAATCAGTATGATTATCGGGTGTTGTTCCTGTGGTAAAAATTTCCCTACCTAAACTATTGTACAGGTAAAGGTGTTGTCTGACCACAGTCAACCTGTGGGTCGTCCATTTGTCATCGGTACAGTTGTCAATGGGACCCGTCATAGACATAAAAAGGCAGGAAGCTAACTTGAAAGTATTGACGTGTAGATATTTGTGTCGAAGATTACCTGTCCTCTGTTGTAATGGTTTAAGAGTTTTATTTAGGGCTACCATCTCCTTTTAACAGTTGTCTTTAAAAATAAAACCGTCTATTGAAGCAGTGACATAGAGCCATGTAGATAGAGATCTGTGGTTGGGCTTGCTACAGTTGTGCCTTAAGGGTTTGTGTATATATGTGATTCATTAAGTACAAGGGTGTAGTACGTATTTCACCGTGGTGTGGTGGAAGTTTAGACCACCTAAACTGTCTTATTTACATCAATATTCACAATGTGAGGGACTGAAATGCCATCAACAGACAGGTAAAAGTTTTATTTTTAGTTTCCTCGACAAAATGGCATTCACATGTATGTTGATTAATATGAAATACAGGTATCTACCTTTTGTTTATACCAATGTTCAGTGATCTGTGTCATGAAAATGTTGGCTCAACTTTACTCCTGTAGAAAGTATAGTTTATCTCAGGATTCTTCCTGCCATTCATTGTGAATGAGAAACATCAAATGTTACAAATTCTAAAGATGTATAAAGTTCAATTTAATCAAAATTATCTTATTTGTGTTTGTCTTCAAAAATGTTAAAAGATTTTCATTGTGAAATAATATTTTTAGAAGAATTTAGCTTGGGAGAAATTTTTTTCAAGTTAAATGGTTTTGACATTTGTTGATAAATTTTTTACTGAAACCTTCATAATACTTCAAATTTTTAAATTTCCTGTAAAATCTATTTTCCCTGTACACTTAGAAGTGTTAAGAGCTTTAAATTTGCAGGATAATTAACTCATTATAGCTAGATAATATTGACTTCCTTTTGGGGATCTCATGTTCAAAACATTTTTAATTTTACACCCTGATGTGAAATTTCAGCACACAATAATTTTGTTAAAAGCAGAATTTTTGAAAATATATTATTATTTTGCATTCAGAAAGCCGACAGAAATTTAAAGTCAGAAAATTACTCCTTTTTAAATATTTATGGAAAACAAATTTTTCTTTTAACATATCATCTGTGACATGTAAATTCATGGTACGATGCACATATAATCGCTCTAACAAAACATGGACTATGTTATCAACTTTATATACACATACATATCATGTCAGTTCACACAATCATTTGGTAGGTTGTCAAAATGTCAGTTGATACAGCTTGAACTGCTTTTGTAAATGTTAAACAAACTTTATATAAAGAAGGTAGATATGGTTGTGTGTTGGTTGTTTTTAGTGTTATATGGAAGATAGTTAAAGAGTAGACATTGGAAACATATTGTCAGCAGAGAAATATGATACACTTTCATTTTCTCGGTAGTTATATCCTTATAGTATTGGTTAGGTTTTGTTTATGCTGTCAGTTTAGTGAGAGAAAAGCAGATTTATGTCTTGAGAATGAGTTGTTAGGTGTTTAGAACTTCTTTCACACCACATAACAACATAGTATAATATGTCCTAATTACACGCTTCAAATGGAGTCATGGTGTTTTTGTTCAAAGTGAAAACGAGTGAAATGCAGTGTTAATTTGGACAATAAAAACCCATTTTGTATCAGTAACCTTGCTTGTATATGTCAATGTAATTGCCATATATTTGATGTGATAATAACTCATGTTGATATACGTTTCCAACAAAATACAAGATATTGCTTATATCTTCATGTACTTTACAAGACAAGAATTATCTATAAACCAGATTCTCACAAGATTACTTCCCAAAATGCTGATACCTATTTCTACACAAGCAAAACAAAACAATTATCAGATTAAACAACAAAAATTTTGTCTTAAGTTCCACCTTGGATAAGTGATACTGAATGATGTCTTTTAAATTTTTTTACCTTTTTTTTCCATTAACAAGTATCATTTTTGTCTTTACAGTCCACCCTCACCAAGCAGTCTGAACACACTGAGACAACAACTGAGTGTTGGGGGTACTATGAGCCCAACCTCCCACTCCATGACAGGTCAAAGTTCGCCTAGCCTTTACTTTGGTACATCAAGACGAGGCAGCATCTCCTCACTAGCTGGTAAGTGTTTCCTAGTTATCTCCCTTGGTAATTAAAACAGCGTGCTTTTTTCAAGTCTCCTTACTGTATATCATCAAACCAATTGCAGTCGTTGATCACTCTTTGACCTGTAAAGATATATAAAGATTTGATTATGTAGGCTTACTTTATTTGGTCGTTGCCAATCTGTTCCAAAGACAATTAGATGCTAGTAAGGTGACTATAACCTGAGTGATGTACAACATAGTTGGATGGCATGACGAATTATAATTAAATGTATGGTTTGTGTTGTAGAATCAGAACCAGCCCACATCACCACACCACGATTTGTCAAGGATATGTCTAAATACTGGTACAAGCCTCAAATTACTCGCGAGGATGGTAAGTTGGAATTGCCCAAATGGTGTTTATATACTTTTTTATCCTACAATAAGTCCAGGGGACCAATACATTAGTTTATACTCAAAATTAGCAATAAGCCCACGGAGCGAACATTTTCTTCTTACTCAAAGTCACAGGATTTGGTGGGCTTATTAAAAGACACAAGATAATTGTTTGATAAACATTGTTTATAGAATTTACAAAAGTTTTACTGTTGTCACTCTGAGATGGATTTATATTAGTTGAAAAGCGTGTGATGTGATTGTTCTCATATACGTATCTATGAATGAAGTGATATTAACAGTGACTTTTGTGATCGTTTATGTTTGAATTGTGTATAACATTATATTAACAGTGTTATTGTACAGAAAAGTAGAAATATATATGTTCATATTTATTAAACAAAATATTCTCTATTACAGCCATTATGCTGCTTAAGGACAAACAGCCTGGCGCATTTGTCGTAAGGGATAGTAACTCTTACCCTGGGGCTTTCGGCCTTGCTCTCAAGGTCGCACAGATCCCACCAAATGTACAAACCAAGTCAACAGGGGACCCCTCTGCCGACCTTGTCCGACACTTCCTCATAGAACCTACTCATAAAGGTGTACGGTTACGAGGCAGTAACAACGAACCTATCTTTGGTGAGTCCCTCGCTGTATTTTATTGGTGATGTTTTTACAGGACCATAAATAAGCCCGGTCGAAGAATTCTCATTAAGATTCCTTTTATTTAAAAAATTTATACACGAGGACTTAGGATTATATACAGAAAAAATGTATCAGACACTCAGGTAACAACAAAATGAGAGACCGTTATCTTGATTCAAGAGATTTAAGGGAGACAACTCTTAGGTCAAATGACAGGTAGTTTAAATAACATTTACACCGTGAATAATTCAACAATATATGTACATATATTATATGTAGAATGGGGAAAACAAGCTTGATGTGTTAATTTCTTAATTTTGAAAGTTGGTATGGATTGAGTGCGAGTGAAATGTCTACAACGCTTTATGTTTTTAACTGTATGGAATGTTTTTTCTGTTGTAGGGAGCCTAGCCTCTCTGGTATACCAGCACTCTAACACACCACTGTCGTTGCCTTGTAAGCTTGTGCTTCCTGACGCAGGTAAGGATGATGACCCTTGGTGATCTGATCTCTATGATCTCTCTTAAAACTTTTAATTCAATATAATACTTGGTTAGATCACAAGGAAATCATTTGATTGGATGATATGGTTTTTACTTTGCTTTTATCATAATCGATCTGGAAGCAAAATACTGTCCATTTAACCTATCAGTCCTTTACTGTCACTAATATAGGCCATAACCTAAAGATCAGTGAGGATTTTTTGTGTGTGTTGATAGGTTTTAACCCAAAATGTAATACAGTGTGTATTTCCTTACTCTAGGCATGTAACATAGTCTGACAATGATATCCAGGGCCAAAAAATTAGAACTGTAATTTATCTGTGCAGGCTAATATCTTGTTTGTTAAAACCGTTTGTAGTCTAATGAAAAGAATCAGTAACGTTGTCTTTCATAGTATCATTCAACATCATGTTTCTGAAACAAATGACAAATTGTAATGTATATTTTCAGCCAAAGACCTACAATTTTGATCATTCTACCCCTATCTATTGCCATTAAATGAAAAAGAAAATCAGAATGTTGTCCAGTTGTCTAACGTTGAGTCAGAAATTATGTTTTTTACCCCTGAGGTCTAGTAATAAGCTGACTCCCTGACTCTGAGTCAGAGGTCATGTGGGTTTTATCCTTGTGGTTCAGTAATAAGCCCCCCCTCCCCCACTCCTCCCCTTGAGTTCCTGTAATAAGCTTACTCCCCAACTCTGGGTTAGCTATTGTGAACCCCTGAAGTGGTGTTATACGCCCGCTCTTCGACTTTGAGTTGGAGATTATGTGGTGGCCTCTTTGTATTATTCTAGTGTAAGTGGAGCACAATTAAAAGAGATTTTCACTAATTTAATTGATGTTTATTCTGTGTATAGAAACTGTGGCAATGGAAAGTAGTAGCAGTACTATGGACAGCTCTGTAAAAACAGAATTGCCAAGCTCAGCTGCTGCACTTCTAGCTCAGGGTGCAGGTAAGTGTCCAGTATCATATCTATATCACAAAATTGTCAAATTAACAAACACTATTACAACAAATCGATGTAAAATGTCCTTGAAACTGGAATTTTTTTATTGATGAATTTTGTGAAGAATTAACTTGATTTTGCTTAGAAAGTTTTAAAGCACACCCTGCCCGCTCATTTAAGTCTGAATACTTCAGTGAGATAAATTTGACCTGTTCCTGTGTCCACAGCTTGTAATGTTTTGTTCCTGAACTCTGTGGATACGGAGTCATTAACGGGACCACAGGCTGTCGCCAGGGCAATGAAGGTGACCTTTGACACCCAGCCAACACCCAAGACAACAGTAGTACACTTCAAGGTGTCCAACCAGGGTATAACGCTCACTGATAACCAAAGGAAGTAAGTTTAAACAGAAAGGTGCTAAAAATGTGTGATTCATGGAGGGAATTTTGATACAGAAGAACATGTTTACTCCTACGAAAAGCCATGTTTACACTACATTATCATATTTATCTGCCCCTGCCTACAAATAAGTCCCCTTCCTCGCTTTTGTAGAATCATCAATTTAAGGAGAAGTTCACAAATGAGTCCTCTCAAATTTAAAACTAAATTTTTACACCAGGGGAGGGAATTCATTTGAAAATAAATATAGTAGTCCTGTTATCATTACCGATATTCTGCAATAAGCTGAAAGGGCTCAAATTCTTGCTGTCAAATGGCCAGCTTATTGTCGGACATTGAATTAACAATTTCTAGTAATTCTCTATTTATAGCAATAGATAGGAATGGGCATAAAACCAGTTTCCTATCTGTAAAAAAAATCAGAGTTTACAAGCAATTCCTCATGCTTTACTTTTCAAATTTTCTTTAAAAAAATTGATCTGTTTTTATAGAACCGAGTCAACATTTATTTCTGGTTCAATTTTTTGGGTCTACTTCATTCTGGTTAAATAAGGAACGATTACTCTGTAAATGATAGACATTGGTTAATTACCAGAACTTGACTACAGTTGTTCTAATGTCACAGGTATCTGTAACAACTGTCTGTAGGACACGAAGTACTCTTCCTGGTCTGAAGGCATAAACACTCGGATGAGTGTAAGTCTGCCTGATTTAGGACATTCCTGTATATGTCTGCCTGATCGAGGACATTCCTGTATATGTCTGCCTGATGAGGACATTCCTGTATATGTCTGCCTGATCGAGGACATTCCTGTATATGTCTGCCTAATTGAGGACATTCCTGTATATGTCTGCCTGATCGAGGACATTCCTGTATATGTCTGCCTGATCGAGGACATTCCTGTATATGTCTGCCTGATCGAGGACATTCCTGTATATATCTGCCTGATCGAGGACATTCCTGTATATGTCTGCCTGATTTAGGACATTCCATGTCCCTTAGTTGTTGACCGATTGTATAAAGATTTGCTTCCATGTTGTAATATTAAACGTCTTGTTTCTCATTTGAAGGTTATTTTTCCGTCGACACTACCCTGTATCTGCTGTGACATATTGTGGTATGGATCCTGATGGACGAAAGTAAGTGATCTAAATTTTGTAATGTGTACTTTAGTCCAAAATGGTTCTGTCTCCAAAATATATTTGTTTGAAAATATTACAGGAATTCCTAAAGATATGAATTTTTTTTTTTACTTTCTGTCCATAGTTAATGTTCATGCTATTGAGATTTCCATAAAACATTGGCTGAAAGCAACCTGACACTGATTCTGTAATTTTGAATTTACATGGAAGAAGGAAGTCTGTCATCTGTGTTCAAACAAACGTTTCCCCTGGATAGACCAAAATGTTCTGGACTATGTGTAGAAACACTACGAGACACCAGAAATATTCAGTTATACTCGATTAATATTTGATTTCCTAAATCAGTTGGGGTTTTTTTTCCAGATGGAAGAGAGAAACAGAATCTGGTGCTCTGATGGAAGCAAGGTATACACATATATAATTCTTTTTCTTTACTACAACCATAGTTTACATAGTACACAAACAGAAGCAGACATTTTATAATGAACTTTAGTAACAAGTTTGTAAGTATATTATAAGTCAGGTTTTTTTCTGAATCGGCTGAATGAGTTTAGAATGTGGTCTTCGAGCCGAGGAGATGGAATGATGGCCGTTATATTTTCTGTTTCCTACTTTTTCATTACAGAGTGTTTGGCTTTGTTGCGAGGAAATCTGGCGGCCATTCAGACAATGCATGCCATTTGTTTGCTGAAGTTGACCCTGAACAACCTGCATCAGCCATAGTAAACTTTGTAACAAAGATTATGATTGGTCAAAGTGGTAAAGTGAAACCATAGAAACAGGCTTGAATTTGACCTTGTGACCTCTGTATCCTAACTGACTCACTGAGCATGGGCAAAGGAAAAAAAAACAAGGTGATTCAATCAAAACAGAGATCCCAAGGTCGAAGGCAACTAAGGGCACCAATGTTTCCCCACATGTCTTTGGAAATCAAAAACAAGTGTCATTACTTGGTTACCATGGAAACAGTGAGAAGTGAAGATCAGTCAAGTGGAAAGATGGAATGTAGGGCAACATTTACTATAACTATGGTATTGTGCCGTAGTAAGAGAGGCTTACTGTGTGAAAGACCTCTATTACAAATGATAATGATGATAACATTTGAATTTGTATACGAATATAATCAACAAAAGGGTTTATTAGTTTTTTTTGTTTTTTTTTCGCAAAATTAAGCTTTACATTATATAAGTCATCATTTTTAATGCTTTGTCTATAACAGTGTAGAATATATGCAACTTCCTTAGAGTTTTCGATTCAGATGTAGTCGCCTTGCTCCGTTTTTCCCCCTTTTCGATTATTTGATGCTGATATTATTTAGTCTTACAGGTTACAGTTAACCTGTAATTATGCATTACTATGGATACACGTATCCATGGAGAGTAGAGACCGTTGGCATCGTTTGTGCCTTGTTACATTGTGTTTACAAGAGATCTGATTGGCCAGTTGGCAAATTATTGAGAAGAGAACTTCTCATATTTCAGTGTTTTGGTCAATAAGATTGGCCAATATATATATATTATTTTTTTTTTCAAAATGTGATTATTCATTGATGGTAAACCAGGTTAGCATTTTAATTCAGCTAAAGAATGATAAACTTTTAAACATTGTATGACCGATTCAAAATCTATTTAGACCCTCTGATATTTCATCTATGCAAAGAATTATCAGACTTTATTGTTTGAGCGGTAACCAGATTATTAGTGCTACCGAGACCCTCACAGCTAGCCTACCTTTACAGAGTTTGATTTACTGCTATCATTGAACAGTGGTATATATGACATTGTATCTGTTTTGTTGTGTACCTGTGCATCATTTTGTTCAGTCAGATAATGGATATTACTTTGTCTTGTGGAAGTATTTTCTGATGCCTGGCTCTCTTCCATACATAATCCTTTACTCTGGATGTCGAGTACCTTTGTGTGTCACATCGACACATTGTAACTATGGCAATTCTGCGAGTGCTGTTAGAATGGAGGACAGACAGGGGTCGACAGTGTGTGTTCAAATGCTTTATCGTTGTTTATATATGAACGACACTACGTCTGCCTCGTTACTATGGCGATGGTGATGTAGAGTTGTAACGAGCTGTAGATGTTATTGTGCATATTATTATTATTATTATATTAATTTACATGTTGTTAAATATGTATAGGTGATAAATATTGTATAGTTTAATGGTATTTAGTCAGCGAGTTCATATTTATTGATATTTTTTGTCTGAAAAAATTTTAACATTAAGATATAGAACACATCCTTCCCCATGACCTTGTCACTGCGCCAGATTTGGCGACACCTGGGTGCTGTATACAGAATTGGACCTGCTACGATATTGCCATTTTTTAATTCACTGAATCATATTTACAACCAAACGATTGCTTTTATCCTTCGTATTACTTAATTATACACAAAACGATGATAATATACGGTCAGTGTTATTTACTCCCTTACTCCCAGACAACATAATTTATATATAGATTTGGTATTCAGAACAACTGCATTTAGTGTGGAAGGTAGTTTTGAACTTCTGGGGGGAAATTGAGCTACAAGTTAAGGCAGTTTTGAACTGCTTTTCTGCTTATATTAGTGCCTTCAGACTTTCATCAAATTGTTACATGAAATTTGGATTTTGTTTTAAAGGGAAAGTTTTCAAAACTTTCAAAATTGTAAGTTATCATTTTTAAGTGAAATTTTGTTGAAATATATCTTAAATCATAAATATTCATCTAAATTATGTACACATACTAAAGGCACTTTATTTTCAAAGAAAAGAAAACGTCACTGCTTATTTTTTTTCAATAGGTTGTGTCCCTACATGTTACAGGTGTATTTCAAAATTCAAACTCACAAACTGTTTTTATCTACCATGAAATTAAACCCATAAACTCATTGATCAAATTATATTACCATAACTGGGTATCTTATTTTTCTGAATATTGAAAATGCAATTCAGAACATTATCATCATGATTTATTTCATAGTCTTTTCACCAAGTTTCTATGATGAATAATTTTATTCAATAAGTATTATTTGCTTCATAAATTGTGTGATTTTTCCAAATGTAATCCTTAACATTTCAATTCAAAAAATCTTTTGGCCTTTTTTTATTCAAATCAATATTATCAAAACAAAAATGTTTTTCAAACATCATATGGACAAAATTTTGGCTTGGCAAATTTACAAAGGGGCATAACTCTTCCTGTTACAAAAAGTAATTTGATTTTTTTTTTTTTTAATTTGCAATAATACTTAGTCTTGCAGTGTATATTGTAAGTGTTAAATGTAAAGTATACAACCAGGTAAGCTATATTTGCACTGTTAAATACAATCCTGGACATGACTACCAAGCTCTTTGTAGGAATGTTACTCGCATATGTCAAACACTATATGTGGTTATATTTACTGATGAAATAAAAATCAGATATTTATCCATCCTTGACTTGTCTGTTTTTTCGAAAGTTTGTCTCAGCCAGTACAGCAGTGTCACAAATTTGGAAATTATTCAAATCCAACATATTTAAATTGCTAATAGTATTTAATTCCTTTGAATTCTATGTAAAATAATTTATGAAAAAAAGAAGTATCTTGTATGATACCTTTATAGAATTATGTAATTCTACAAACATTTCATGCATTACAAAACACATGTTGTACTGGCTTAATAACTAAATATACTTCTTTCAATCTAATTTTAGCAGAATGTGAATTCTGAACAAACAAGTGCATTGATGAATTCATGCATCCACGATAATTATCATACTGATGACATACAGAAACTGTAATTATCAGATAAAAGTTTTAGCCTCGTATCTTTAACACAAAATGCACTAAAATAATATCACTGTTAAAATCATACATTAGCAGTATTGGCCACTAAATGATTGATTACTTCACCTGGCTTAAAGGGAAAAGTGAGCTTATGGCATACCAAACCATGTCTGTATGCCCATCAACTTTTTTCTTAAAAATCGCTACTTATCATAAACAACTTACAGGATTTCAACCAAATTCATCGGATTCATCCCTTCGGAAAAGGGGAACAAATTTTGTATAAATGGTGGATCTCTACTCCCAGGGGCCCCAACAGGTGGTGCCCAAAAGGAGAAACTTTTAAATTCTACTCCTCCTATAAGAGTGATTGGATTATGCTCAAACTTTGGTCAGAAACATCCGTATGTGAAGGGGAATCAATTTTGTATAAACAGTGGGTCTCAGCTCTTTGGGGCAGAAGGGGTGGGGCCCATAAGGAGAAATGGAGCAATTTTTTTATAATCCCCTCCTCCTGGAGGAATGAATGGATAATGCCCAAATATGGTCTGAAGCATTCTTAGGTAAAGGGGAATCAAATGGCAGAGCAATATACCTGTTACCAAACTTACATGATTCAAATTTTAGTATTAAAATGTGTGCAGACAGTAGCAGCATTATAGTAACGGTCTGATCAAACACTAATATGGATCCAAATCTAACTTCATCTCATTGTAGCAAGTCTACAAAGCTTCACAAAGATCATAAATAACAATAATCTTATATCTCTAGATGTAAATCTAAACTGTTAACAGAGTTATCTCCCCTACCTGAGACTCTACATGCTCTAGAAATAAAGATGACCACTGGGCAAGGGCACATCTGTTATGATCAGTTATCACCAGTTCTGCCAAGACAGGAATATTAATGTCAGGTTCTCATATTCTGCTGTCTCAGATTAGTTCAGAAATTCATATTTGTGGTTATTGCTACTGACCATAATCTTTTAAACTCTCTGGGGAACATGCAGCCAGAGCTGACATTCTGGACTAACACCTTACAATCGATACAATACATCCAAAACTAACCAAGTTAGAACAAAGACAGTAAAGGATATAACACAGCATTTGTGCCTATGATCACCCGACCAACACTCTACTTCTTGACCAAGGCCACCATTCCTTTGAAAATGAAGTGAGGAAAGAGTGAAATGATGGATGAAAAAGAAATTTTTTAATAAAATTTCTACAGTTGTTGATTCAAAACAGAACACTATCCAGTTTCCTGGAGGTAAACAAACTTCATGTAATGATAAATAGCCCTGCCAATTTTCAGTGCTTGGTGGAAAGTGATAGATATCTTTTTGGGACAGAAATTCAAAAATATCATTGTGGAAAACAGCTGAATGTCCGAAGAGCATTAACTCTTCCAAAATATTTGAACCAAAATAGAAAATCATAACTTTAAGTCATGGAAAAGAGATCTATTGAGACAGGAGATCATGAGACAGAAATACTCCTGATGGACAGAGTACACCGTGTCCTGATTTTTTAAATCTAAATTTTGTCAAATTGTTGACATTATTGGGGTTGTAACTACTAAATAATACCAAAAAACAGTTTGCTGTTATTACTTTTTTATCTTCATTTTCACGGCCATCTTTGTATCAAAAATCTATATACTCAATTCTTTCACCGACATTCATACAATAGCATTAATTGATCATGTTTACAGTTTCTGAAACCCTGTAACAGAAAATTACATGACAATTTCCATATTCACATGAAATAAACATCATAAACACCCATACCATTATCTTACAAAGACTTGGACCAAAATATTTCTCAGTAATTAAACACATATCCTCGATCATTAGGCACCAAAACATGCATCACATGATATGATGTTAAACATTCAAACGTCAAAGCACTATTTAATAAAATAAAAAAAGAAAATGCCAACAAAAATGGCAATTATATACTGAAATATATCGGAACCTTTTGAGTTCCAACTTAGAGACAATATTGTACTTTGGGGCCTATCATGATGGACAGGCTTCACAAAAGACTGATTAGCACTAACCCAGTTTTGTTTGTATTCAAAGACATTAAAAGCTTGTCAACAGCATTAGAATTTTCACATTTTTGTAGTCAAGTGTCATTTTGAAGGAACAGCTATTGGATACATTTGTATTCCTTATCTGGTATACACTGTACAGGATAATGAAAAAAATGTTTACCTTTAAATTTGGAATGATATATGAACTAAACACTTGTATATGTTGAGGCAAAAGACCAACAACCTTCCTTGCTATTTCATGTTTTTTACAAAACTCGCTATACAAGAGTTCTCCGAGAAAAAATTTGGAATCAAACCTATAATTCTAAATGAAGGCAACAAAATATGCTTACGAATGTAACAATATGTCTTCCCATGAGAAACTAATGTTTATGAAATTTGATGACAGAAACCGAGTTAACAAGAAATTTAAGGTAGAGACAAAACTTTGTTAATGATAATAACATATTAGCATACCCAGAGGTCCCATTCTAGATGGATGCAGGAAAATTGTTTTGTATGCTGAGTTCATTGCCCCGTGAACAGCCTGGGTAATTTTGAGGCATATGGTCTCCCTGTAGTAGTTGGTGGCTACCTCACTGAACAACATACAGGAGGCCCGTCCTTTACCGTTTTGAGCAATAAGGGTAAAGCGATACCCACGGATACAAAAATGTCAGCAGAAAGTGGTCAGTTTTCAGCTTCTCAGAAACACATGGGTCAGTTTTCAGCTTCCTCAGAAACACAAACTGTCGGACAGGAAGTGCTGGACCATGCACCTCGTATCTTCAGTTCTTTAACTGAGATCACATATGCCATTGCTCTCATTTAATGAGCTATCACAGCCCGTAATGTATGAAAAGGACATGAAAACCAAAACATGAAATAAATATAAGCATTGTAGGAAAAACTAAATATCTAACAAATAGTCTTTCTTTCATAAGTCACAATGTAGTGACTGTATAGACTGTTAGAGAAAAGCAACAAATGAAAATAAAAAAGCACAAGTGCACATCTAATAATATCAATGTGATATTTCAATATCTTTCTGTAAAATGTCCATGCTACTTTTGACAAGTTCACATTTCTTCCAACTTGGAATAAAATCATGAAAATAGATATTTACTTTAAATAAACATAATCAGGAGATCCATTCATTTTTTCCTTATTTTTTTTATTACTTAAGTGAAAATTCTGTACTTTTTTATTCAAGCTTTTGATGCAACAATCAAAATTTGAATCATTAAAAAAAAAAAAAGAGATATTGCCTACACAAAATAAAGACAACAGTTAATACATACTTTTGTACCTGGTCTACAAATCAACATAGGCCTCAACAAATAAACTGGTTATACACTGTCTATACACAACATAAACTTTCAGCAATTCTTAGGACAGACATCTTTGTCTCATGTCTTCCTTATGGGACTCGGCAGAATTTTTTTATCATACTTATCTTGAAGTAAGCCAAGGAGCCAACATACCAACTTTAACCCTGAGCAGATTGGCAGACTTATTGTAGGACAGCAATAAAGAATTTGAATTCTTTTGAAGAAAAATGAAAATGGGTGGGCTTATTACTGGACATACGTTTCTAGCCAGACTAAACAGCATTCCAAACTTGCCTTTAAGAACTGTAAATAAATCACTGACTGGCAATGAAGTGTTCTAATTCCCTGTTACATCAAAAGCAGTGTTTAATCCTCATTTCTATTTCATGTGAAACTCGCAGTAAGTTTTAAGACAAAGATATCAGTGTTCTGGTCTTTCACCCAATATAATCTGCTGCTGTGCTTATCATGAAATAAGCCCAATGGTCAGCACACCAATTTCTACCAAGGTCAAGGGGGTTGGCTTATTCCAGGTCAGTGTAAAATGCAGGAAAACAGAAATTAGAATTTTTTTCTTTCAAACCAACAAAAATGTACAGAAAAGAAACAAAGTAACAGCATTTATGTACTACACAAACAAGCCCTCCGACCCACAAAATTAACAGAAATTTTCTGTGAAGTCAATAGCATACTTGTACCCTATTTGAATATCTAAAACTTATACAACAATTTGATAAAATTTGTTAGTATTTAGAAATACAATGATTTTCTTTCACAACTGATTAGAACTCTCAAACAGATATTTCAGAACAAATCACAACAGAAATGAGGAAGGCACTTTATTTACAATCAGTAAAATTCGGAATTATCTTCAATTAAAGGGCACCAAAAATTTCTGTATCAATGTAATGAAAATTGTATAAAGCATAATACCGAGAGTGTTTTTGGTAATGTGGGGTAACGGGGCTATGTTGCATTCAAAATATAATCATGTGATCAATATATAAAAGCTCCTGCTATACTTAATTAAAGTCCTTTATGATGACTTACTAGATTGTTTAAATTTAATCAAGATTTCCAGGAAAGTCTAAGCATAAGTACAAGAAAAGCATTCAGTCACAGTTAAGAGACGGCCGTCTCTTTTTCTTAAGAATCCAATTGTAGCACGACAAATATATGCTGCCCTTAACATATTACTATTATCATTGATGCTCCAATGTCTGAAAGAATAAGACGTCTCATGCAAACTTTTGTGGTACTAAAACAATTGAATTCAATTCCTAAAAAAAAAATCATTCCCTGCACCTGTTCATGTTTAGCTTTATGTTATTAATCTATAGAAAACCTGTAGGTCGAAACTGTGAAATAATAAAGTGAAAGACAGAAATTCAGTTTTAAATATAATCAATAAATTAAGAGAGTTTGAATTACTAATTACTAGTGTCTCGGTATTACAATCAAGGGTTTTATTTGTGTTTCATAAGGGAAAAAAATGAAAAAATATCTGACAAGCCACAACAGGTCGTCCCAAAAGACAGGCAAAAAGGAATATTGAATACCTTGAAAGCCTTCTGTGTTTAAACAGGTGAAAATTAAATACCACGAAAAGTCACTTTAATTGTATATTGTTAATCATTCATTTTCATGGAGGATTTATCTTTACTGATATCAAGGGTGTTATTTATTCATGTCCACAAAATGATAAACAGACAAAAAACGACATAGATAACATGTCTAACATGTTTTGTGAGAAAAATTTACCAACAAAATCAAGTGCCAATGAAAAAAACAAGAAGTTTAAGCCAAACAAAAACATGTGATTTTACAGTAAGACAGGGGTGCCAACATATAACCTGTGACTTCTAAGTAAAGAGATAGGACAGCTCATGACAAGGCAATGATACAATCATTACTAGCATTATTGAAACTTTAAAAAACTGTGAGTGATCTTATCATTAAAGGTCAGCTAACTGACAAATAAAATAACAAGTATGAAATTTCTTCTTTGAACAAAAATGTAGCATGAAAACCCTAGTCAGTATTCCTTCAAACTTTCAAGAGAGCCAGAATAATATGAACATTGTGCGACAACCAAGGAACCTAGAGACAGGGAACATCATCTCCTCCTATCCCCATATCCCCAGCGACTATCTACCTCCCTGTCCCTACGTACTGGAGAACGTGACCTGTATCTCTCCCTACTCCGATATCTGTCCCTACTATTGTCTCTCCCTCTCTCACTACGATCATAGTCCTCAATAACATCCTCACTAGCAATTTTGCTCAACTTTTCTTGAATTTTCGATTTTTTTGACACATCAACACTTTTTAATGATTTGCTATATGACCTTTTGGGACTGTCTTCGTAATTGTTTCGTGTTTCACGTGAATATTGGTCTTTTTTCTGTAACTTTTCGGATGACTTGTCTCGAGATAGGTCCCTTGAAGTATCACGAGACTTACTACCAGATATGCTTTTTCTGCTAGAGCTTTCCTCCTCCTCCTCCTCACTATCTGAATATTTGGCCTTTTTCCTGTATTTTTCAGGAGGTCTAAAAGAGCTTTCTTCTTCATCCCTGAAAGACTTTCTGTCTCTCTTTCGCGATAAATCACTCCTATTAAGACGTACTTCTTCATCAGAACTATCTGCTTGACGTTGGGATTTTTTCCCTGATTTCTCCCTAATCTGTTCTCTTGTTCTGTACCTCTGCTCTTCCGTGCCATTTCGTGACCTTCTGTCTTTGTTCTGTATATTTTTAGTATATTGGTCTTGCTGATCAACTTCTTCACTATCACTATCTTGATCAAATCTATCTGTCTTGCGTGACTGTTCTCTAGATTTATCAGCCCTACTGTATCTCTCCAGTTCCCTTTCTTCTTCACTACTTTCCTCAGAAGAACTATCGTTCCTTACGTTTCTGTTTACGTTTTCCTCCCGTCTTGATGTTCCAGTCCTGTTTCTATCTAACTTGGCATATTGTGCTGCCTTGAATGTGGTTTCCTGCTTGTCATCTTTCTTTTGCCTTTCCCACGGATCAAAATATGTATCGTTTGTAGATTTGGGTTTTGGCTTGCTTTTCTCCTTACTTTTCTGCTCCACTACAACAGACTCTGCGGAGTCGGAGTCTGAGCTGCTACTACTATCACTACTACTACTACTACTGCTGTCATCACTGCTACTACTACTGCTACTACTACTGCTGCTGCTACTCGACTCCCTTCTCACAGATTCTCGTTTTTTCTGCGGTACTCTTTTATCATTTACAACACTTTTTACACTTTTAACCTTTCCTGGAGTTATTTTTCTATCATCAGACTCCTCTGACGACTCACTATTTGCTTCTTTTGTTTGCCTTTTATCCGTCTGTAGTCTTTCGTCATTCTTAACTCTTGAACTTTCTTGTCCCCTACTTTTTCTTCGATCTGTAATTTCCTCCTCGGAATCACTAGAGGCACTCCTTCTAGCTACTTTCCTTTGTACAATATCATTATTTCTCTGATTACCTTGACTTTTCCGCCTATCTACAATTTCCGCCTCAGAATCACTGTTTGAATCTTGTTGCTTGCGTTGCTTATTATCATTTCTTTGCAGTCTTTCATCGTTTTCAGAATGTCTTTTATTTTCCTTTTTCTTGCGTGCATCAACTTCCTCTTCGGAATCACTGCTAAATTCCTGCTGTGGTCTTTCATTTCTCTGCTGCCTATTACCTGTATTACGTTCCTTTCCTCTACTTTTCTTTCTTTCAGTAACTTCGTCATCACTACTTTCTCTCTGTCTACTTCTCTTGTTGTTTCGTTGTTGCCTCTGGTCATTATCCCTGGATTTACTTGTATTCATGGCATCCTCATCAGAGTCACTATCAGCTCTCTGCCTTTGTTGCCTTTCGTATCTATTTTGGTTTTCATAATTTTGTCTATCATTCCTAACTTGTCTTTCAACGCTGTTGTGTCGATCATTTCTAGTTTGCCTTTCATCACTTTGTTGTCTATCATTTCTGTTTCGTCTTTCATTACTTTGTTGTCTATCATTTCTATTTTGCCTTTCATCATTTTGTTGTCGATCACTTCTACTTCGTCGCTGATCATTTTCATATCTATCATTTCTATTTTGCCGTTCATCATTTTGTTGTCGATCTCTTCTACTTTGCCTTTGGTCATTTTCATATCTATCGTTCCTATTTCGTCTTTGAGCATTTTCATGTTGATCATACCTATTTTCATGATCATTATTCTGTAGCCAGTTATTTCTACTTTCACGATCATTACTTTGTTGTTGATCATTTCGATTGTGCCTATCTTTCCTAATTTGTTTATCATTGCTCTGTCTACTATTTGTCTCTCTAACATCACTGTTTCTCTGCCTATCTCGACCTTTTTCCTTTCTCTCTATCAATTCTTCTTCCTCTGAATCACTATATCCTTTATCTCTTCTATCGTTCCTTCTTTGTCTGTTGTCATTTTCATAACCTCTGTGATTACTTGTTTCTCTCCTATCCATCCTATCCTCCTCGGACTCACTGTCGTTTCTTCCTCGTTTATCCCTTCTCTCCTTCATTTTATCTTCCTCTGCGTAGTCCTGATAGTCTTTACCTCTACTGCGTTCTATAACTATCTCTTTAGAATTATCCATCCTTCCTTTTTTGTTGTTTCTGTTGTCTTTTTTATCTTTAACATTCTTAGGATTATCTTTAACACTTTTATCTCTTCTTCTTCCCTGTCGATTTCTCTCTTCTTCCTCCTCCTCATCAGAGTCACTTGTCTGTCTGTGTTTTTGCTGCTTTGTATTGGCAAGCTGATTTTTATTCCTTACTTCCTTCTCTTTTTGTGAATGTCCCTTATTCTCCTTTCTAAACTTCTTTCTTTTTGCAGGTGTGTCGTCCTCGGATGAACTCTCTAAAACACAAATTATAGAAAATCTAGATTTTTCAGAGGACTTTGATGATAAATGACTCTTCAAGAATATTACAAAAATTTTTTTAGGAATATGTAAGGACAAAAAGAAAATGTTACACCAATTCCAATGGACTTGGAATTGCATGTTATACCAATGAAAACTAATACCACTTCAATGTTTCAGTTGATATTGATAGGGGTTTCAGAACTGCTACTGACTCTGGCATTGTCAACCAATGTTGATAAGGATCTAAAAAATCTGCTTGATGCTGATAGTGTTAGCAGTATTGTTAGGGATCTAAAAAATACTACTGACTTTGACAATGTCAGCAGATATTGCTGGGGATCTCAAAACTATTACTGACTTTGACAATGTCAGCAGATATTGCTGGGGATCTCAAAACTATTACTGACCTTGACAATGTCAGCAGATATTGCTGGGGATCTCAAAACTATTACTGACCTTGACAATGTCAGCAGATATTGCTGGGGATCTCAAAACTATTAATGACCTACAGATCTCAAAACTTGACTATCTTTTGAACAAATTGTTTATTCAGATTTTCTGTTATTCCTGGACAGATGGAATGAAAATAAACCATCTTTAGGCTTCAATGAAAGTTAGAAAATGACATTTGAATTCATACCTGATGATGAAGATGAACTGGAATCTGAGGAAGATGAGGATGATGATGAGGAAGAAGATGATGAAGAAGATGACGATGATGAATCCTCATCAGCCTCTGCTGCTTTCTGTTGCATTAGCTGTTTTGACTTGTTTTTAAGATGATCACGTAGGTCATCCCTGGAAAAGTACATAAATAATTATATAAATAAATTCTTAAATAACATGTTCCATCATGTAACCTTACACATGATATATCTTACCCCCGTTTCCATTACACATACCTGTCAAAGTTTTATAAAGGTTATTCTGTTACAACCCAGATATATGATTTAATACAATCATTATTATAAAATTCATATATAAACACCTAGAACATTTGTTTTAGTTTTGAGTCTTCATGTGGGATGTAAACTACAATATTCCAAAATATCACAAAAAAACAGAAAAAGATTGATATTCATTCATTTCCATTGTGTTTAAATACAAAAAGTCAAAAGATAAACAGTCTATCTGCATGATATTACGAGATATCATCTTCAACAAATAACCATTTATAAATGTAAAGAAATCATCTTCATGATGTGTTCCACTATTTATTACTTAATATTCATTAGACGTAGACTAAAACTAGACAATGTGTGTAAGATATAAATACTCCTACACAAATGCAAATACCTATTAATAGCAACACTGGTCATAACCTTTGAACCATAAAACATGAGCTCACATAAAGAAATGAAATTTCCTAAAGTGAGCACATTGATTCAGGACCGTACAATAAGTGTTACCATACTGAACTTACGTCAACCCTCCAAGTCCTATGGTAGTGAAAAAGTTGATAGCAAATCTGGTATTCCTTGGATTATCACGAGGCATCAGTCCCTCAAAGAATTCCATCAGAGTTCTGAAAATATTGAAATAAAAACACTTATGTCTACCACTTTAAAAAACATATGATCCAATTATCATCAACACTTTGACATTTTATCCCTTTTGGTTCAAAACAAGTGGCAAATAGTATCAATCATTGATTCACGCCAAATACACTCATACCCATTCCTGTAGTGTGCAACCAAGGTCGTATCAATTGAATGCTGAATGCAAGGCGAAATCAAATTACATCTCTGTCAGCAATTTGCTAATCAATGCTAACTTGTTATACCATACCACATAAATTATCAACTCAAAATCAAAGTTATACAACAATTCTGATGTCACAGTTCCTCTATATATTGTTTTATACTCTGACAGAACATCACTGGAAGTTTAGAAAATCACAATGGTATGCGACCATTACACTTAGTAAAACAACCAAACATCAGAACAGTTTGATGTTACGACTGTTTAATCTGCAGCTGCATCTATGAGGGATGTCACAGGTAATATCTCAGGCTATAGTCTTTTCACACACTGTCCTTTGTTTTCATGTAATGAATATGTGAATTTTTTCTGCTGTACGAGATGGATTTTTGCCAAGATTCGTGTCTTCTTAAGAACATATAACTTAGACATTAAAAGGATTCCATCCTTATTTCTGTGTCTTCACACAGAAAAGAAAGAGAGTTGGGTCAGGAATGCTTAGTGCCATCTTTAAGCATGACAAAGGCATATACCACAAGCTGGTATGCAAAGTATACAAGCATCACATTTGCTGTGAATGTCAGACTCCATATCAAGACCTATGTTAAGTGACAAGTGGCACCTCATACTATGGATGCTTTTGTACTGTCAATGTATCTGCTCAAACATTATTAAAACACAAGACACAGAAAGTTGAAAAGTAAAATGTTACACCTCTTTTCCTTTGTGAATGACATATTTTATCTGATTTTGCTTACTGCAAAAAATTATCAAAAATTTGGAAAAAATTTGGAAAATGATTTTGGAGTGCACAATTAACAAACTTCCAACTATATGTCAACTTTTTAAAGTCGTTGAGAGTATATCCTGTTTATTACATACATTTGCCAAGTTTTTTTTTTTTTGCTTCAAATGATCACTAAAATTGAAAGCCAAGAATTCACTCTTATAATTTTTATTCTCTTATTACTTGTACTAACTAACATGTCAAACACATACAGTTAAAAAAAGGTCAGTTCTGCATAGCTTTTATAAATAGATAAGGAGGTCATTCATGCTTGACCTTTGAACTATTATAACTTACGGATCCCGCAGCCGAGCGTTTAACTTAGGAAGACCCATATACTCCGATAACTCCTGGAACAAAGTCTTGATGAAGATTCTACTGGCTGACGTTGTGTCCTCTTCATTCAGCCGCACACAGGACAGCACCTGAGGATGATTACCTCATTATCAGTTAACAGTTGACGATGAATTTAACAGAACCAGGGATATCATGGCAAAATACTGAACAAATCTTTATGTTTCTTATGAAACTTAAAACCTGAACTCTATTGAATAATAACAAAGGATGTATTCATATTGTACATTCAAGAAAAATGATTGATGATTCCTATTACAAGGAGATATATTCCAGGTACTTCAACAAGATTTCTACAGTGATGATGAACTTACACCCCAGGAAATAGCATCAGTATGCAGAAGATGGGAGAAAAATTTGGCGACATTGCGAAGTTTATTGGTTTCCAGACGATGTGTGGTTTCGTATTGTTCCTTAAACATATCCTGGAATGGGCCTATGAACTTCTTGTTGATCATACAGAATCTCTGTAAACATAAATATATATTAACTAGATGGTCCAGCAGGTGCCCCTGTCTTCATATTAAGTTGACACTGCTTGTTGTCATTATTGTATTTTACCTTATATGAGCGAAAAAGATTAATATATGTTCAGTTATCATCATTTCACAAACTATGCCCTCCCCAGATTATCTTTTTGACTCATTTCTTTTCAATTTTTTTCTGCACATCAAGTATCAATCACACAGCTTCAATGTCCAGGAAATTTTCTTTGTTCTTTTAAGTTCTGAACAAATTACACCAGTGTTTATGGTACACAAAAATGAGACACTCACCTGTGCTAACAGACCAAAGAACTTTTCGTAGGTCCTTTGTTGCCCACAACAGTCCAACACCATGTTACATAACTCTACCTAAAACCATGAAATCAGGTGATATCTTCAACAAAAATTCACATTTAATAAATGGAAGAATTTAAAAGATATCATTTAAGGACAAACCCTTATCTTACATTACTTAACATTTGTTTATCTTGATCAATTTTATTCATCAGTTTGACCAGCTGGACTAGCTTCTTGGTTTATAAAATAAGAGCTGACCTAATGACCTTTAGCTGTCTGACAAGCTTCAACCTTATGAGATCTGTATTAATATTTGCAGGTCTGTCTTAATTTGTGTCCGATATGTAAAATTTTGACCATATAAAGGAATACCCTAATTTATTGTGTCAGTTCTGTTAGATTGCCCTCAGAGGGCATTTTCTAATGTTTTGCACTATATTGTAAATCGTATATGCAATATGAAAGAAATAACTTAAAGCCTCTTGTGGTTTGTTAGCTGGATTTACATCTTCATTAATAGGTAGGATTATTTAGAAATGAGACACCTTGATGGTTGATACCTTACTGAACATAATATGGGAGGGTAAAGTGCCTGGCTTTATGACAAAACCATAACATCACAGAAAGTCAATAATCTAATCTTCAAAGACAAACACAAACAGTCTCTCAAAGGAATCAAACTTCACAGATCTTAACCAGAGATTGTCAAAGTCTGATTCTCTACCAAATGATGTCAGAATTTTCATATTCTCCTATTTTATCATATATAAATCCATATCTCAATATATCTATCACCCTACAGATTTGTGGGAATCTTCTATCTTTTGTTCCAAATTATTATACTTGAAGTCTATAAATATTAACAGACTGTTGAAGAAGCCTGTGTATACCTTACCTCTTGGCCAGGTTTGAGCTCCATTTTAAGAAGTTTGTGAGCACACTCCTCAAAGTCGAGACTAGACTGGATCGTGAGGTAGATCGTGCGACGCAGTGCTACCAAGTTTGTCTCAGTTTTGTCCAAAATCACTTGATTCTCAGCTTCTAAAATGAGTAGTAGCAATGAACCTTAACTAAATATTAAAGGTGAATGAAGTATGTTTAAGTCTATTTTAGATTTAAAATTCAAATGAAAATATTCTTAGCGAAGTAACCAGTGAGATTTAAGCTAATTCTGGAGTAATTAAAAGTGGTAATAGATTCATCTGTGTTACATACAGAGTTACACAATCCATGTCTAAAGCTACACATAGTGGTTGTTCTAGTGACATCTACCTATCAAAGTTCTATTAAGAGAACAACATGTATTTCTTAAGTGATATAGTTTCATTAATAGAATATAAATGCAGACACTCAGTCCACTGACAGAAATCGTCTATCTTGAAACTGTTATATCAAGTCAAATAGCAAAACGTATTATGTTTCATGAAATATAAAACATCAAAAATGTTTTCTGATCAAAGTTGTAAACAATATGTTTTTACTGTGTATACCTACCATCTTCATCATCGTCGTCACTTTCACTGTCACTTCCTGACCCACTGCCCGACCCATCTTCATCAGAGCTATCTTCATCCAGAATGTCTGAAATGCAAAGTCAGCAATTTTACTGTAGAGAAAATTGGAACAGTGTACATGGTTACTGATTTTGATGAGGGTTTTATCTAGAGTTCATCATTATCACTGTGTATTGAAAACAGAGTTTACTACTGCATCTTCCCAGTAAGGTGTTAAGGTGAAGCCAGTTAAAATGTTCCTTGATTTTATGAGATCAATATTTCCTATGAATAAACAATGGGTAATAAACAACCAGTTACATATCAGTACTTACCTCGCTTCAGAGCTTTGTATTTCTCCTCGTTTTCCTGATATTCAGGGTCAGCCTTAAACACATCTGCAGAACAAAGTTCATTTTTTATGTCAATATTATCATTTTATGTTTTTACCTATTTCCTTAAACTAAAATTTTAAAAGATAACATATATTGAAATATGAAACTGAATGAAATACTATATACTCTGCAAAGAGAAACATTAGTCCAGGGCATTTTTGGCTTTCCAAAAATTGTCTTGCTGTAAAAAATTTTTTGCTGTAACATTACAATACCTTCCAGGAAACAATAACTTCAAACACTAAAAAAAATGTAGGCTATGCTTGTTTAACTCACTCAGTATATCCTCCGTGGTGCCCTCATCCTCCAATGTTAGAAGGTGTGTAAACTGTTCCTCCTCAGCTACCAAATCTAGTTCACTTAAGACAGATTGGTGATCCTGTACAAATAAACACACATCTTTTAACCACTCATCACAAATTTCTCATAGTCAAGAGACACGAAAATGTAACATGTCTTTTTTTAAAATTTAACATTAACAATCTGACCTTCTAGAACATGTCAGTGATGATAAGGGCCTAAATTTTGGAAACTAAGAGGTGACCAAGAAAATCCAAAGTGATAAAAAAAAATTGTCAGGGTGGTGTACTAGCCCTTGATTAAATCAATTTTATATTTTTCAATAAAGAATAATTTTATAGGAACATGTGTAAATTCTGCACCATGCTGCTGTTAAAACAAATTCAAACTTCAAGCAAACATTGAACACTTTACGACCTATCTTTCAATATATGTTTTCAATGCTACACTTTTTCTTTGTGTTGATATTTCACCACACAGTTCAGTCTTTGAGGGTGGATTCTCTGGGTTTGGGAGTGGGGGTGGGGGCAGACTATTATTGTCAATTTTAAGTGATGATGACTACATTATGTCTGACCTACCTTGAAGCCATCTTTCCTGATAGCAAACATCACCTCCACCATATACTGGACACGCTTGTCAATCATGGCCTCATGTAAGATGTTCCGCAGTCTCTCAAATATAGCTGGAAAGCAAAAAAGTCATCAATTAACTATTTATTCTCTTAACTGATGTGAAAACAAGGATAGCTATCACAATTGAGAACTCTCTTGAAATGAAGGTGATTTTAGATACATCATTGGGGCAACTCTGCACACAGGCAAATATGACAGAAATATCAAACTACTGGTTGTTGCTGTCCAACAATCTCAACATCATCAAATCCTCTTCATATTTATCCAATCTAAAAGACTGTAAATGGGAATTCAAATGGATGGTCCCCCAATAACAAAATGTATAGCATAACAAGCGATGAATACTACCAACTGTTTCTCTTAGTTCAGATTGGAATTTGTTAATTCAACTTTACTGTTTTAGAACATTAATGTACTCTTTCATTGTGAGAATACTTTATGGAGTTTGAAGACTAGATTTTTCAGTGAACAAGATTCAAAGAAGGGACATAACTCATCCATAATCAACTCCTATTGGAAATGAAAAAGATAAATTTACTAGATAAATTTACTAGATTTAACAACGAGGCTGGAAAATGTTCACTTAGTCAAAATACTTTGATGTATTAAGGCACCTTACTTCTTCTTGTTTTAGGGGGATTTCTTCTTTAATCAAATCTTTGACAAAAAACTCAATTAAACAAATAATAAACTAAGATTATTAACAATTTTTTTTTTCACAAAACTGACAAAATATTTCTATTTGATCCATACTTTTAAATGAAAATCAATTTGACCTCAAAATGCTAAAACCTTGCAAGAAATTATCAGTTCCTTAGTAACTGTAAATACAGCTGAGATCTAGGTAACTGTTAACACTTAAACAAGAGCAGTGAAGAAACAAGGATAACAGCACTTTTATTGTTTCCCTCCATGTGAAGATCAACTCACCATTGATTCCTCTGGGCGACACCTCAGTCAGTTTCTGACCACACTCCTTTAGGAAACCAATAGCTACTTCCACTGAGTCATCTGTTGGATTTTCCAGTAGAAGCGTCAGTATCTCCAGAGCTATCACCTCATGTGCCTGATAAAATAATGTCACAGCTATAGTCAAATATCACTGTTGTTTAGATCTTTTTCAACTTAAAAACAATTTGTCAAAATCTGCAAATTAATCTAGTGTCCATTGTGCATCTAACTTCATTTTTTTTCCTTGAATCCTCCCTGGGTAACATCACTTGATCCAATAAGAATAAACTTCAGCTTACTCTGTACAACAGGCCTCCATAAAGGAATTATTGTTAGGACATTCCACATCAAATAAAACAAAAACTGAGTCAGCACTTCTGCAATGCTCTTTCTCAATATAAACAATTTTTTCAATCAGGAAAGTATCCCAACTCCCCTTCCCCAAATTTGTTACAAAGGATTCTACTTACTCCCTCAACTCTGCTTTCATGAAAAATTAATTCTATAAAATGGCTTTAACAAACAACATTGCACCAGTTTTCTGTCATACCGATAAGTTTTGAACACATTACACAAAATAAAATAGCATAAACAAGAAAAATTACACCTATTTTTGTCATATAGCTAAGTTTTAAACACACTACAGTATTTTCCTCGTGATTTCACTCTTATTTAAAATTTAAAACCTTTACAACTATACTAAATGTCCAGAAGCCTATATACAAATGAACCTGGCACTTACCACCTGCTGGTTGACAAGATGAGCTACAAATCGTGTCGTGGACAGACACAGGGACTTGTCATTACGTTTAAATCCTCTACGGAACTGAATCACCAGACGACGAAGCATGAGCTCCCCAATTTGTGGAAACTGGAAAGTATATATTTACAGCAACATATAAGAACAGATCATAAAACTATACTTACATGCAGAAATAATTATATATCGCAGAAATAAAAATACCACTACAGTAATGCAAAATCACAGCAATACTTCATCAGAAATAATGATGAATTGCAGTTATAATGCTAAAAGTCATAGTGAGAATGCTAAACATCACCAAAACTCTACTGAAAATGTTACAATACCAGGTGTGGAAATAGGTCTAATGACAAGAATGTTCTATTAAAGTGCTGGTAGAATTTCCTATAAAATATAACTGACCTTGGTATTAATGACAGACACCAAAGCAGCGTAGACGTGGGTGAAGGTTGGTGAGGATGCTTGGGCCTGGATCACAGACCGACACAACAGACCTCTGCAACAAAAATACTTCCATTACTTTGGTGTACTGCAACACTTTCAAAAATTATTTAAGATATATTTCAGGAAGATGGAACAGTGGGTGGAGATCTCATTGCTAAAATTACTGGCTCATGAATGTTAATCAAGTTTTTAGAAAAAAATTGTACTAAAGTGAGCAGTATTTCAACATTCTATTACATTTTCCAATGCTTGATCTTTACCTCAAAAACTTTAGCAATAATTAAACTGTTTTACACATGACAGTAAGACTTTTATATCATATCCTTAAAGTGAAGAATTGTTCTATTTGATGCTTTTCATTTATTTAAACAATCATCACCAAAGCATTGCAGTGTGGACATAAAATAACCTGAAAACAAGAACTATCCCTTAACCTGAAGCCTCAACCAAACAGAAAAGTCTGCACCATACTTACCACTACCTAATCCAACAGAGAGATGTCCACACCATACTTACCAATACCTAATCCAACAGAGATGTCCACACCATACTTACTAATACCTAATCCAACAGAGATGTCCACACCATACTTACCACTACCTAATCCAACAGAGATGTCCACACCATACTTACCACTACCTAATCCAACAGAGATGTCCACACCATACTTACCAATACCTAATCCAACAGAGATGTCCACACCATACTTACCACTACCTAATTAAACAGAGATGTCCACACCATACTTACCACTACCTAATTAAACAGAGATGTCCGCACCATACTTACCACTACCTAATTAAACAGAGATGTCCACACCATACTTACCACTACCTAATTAAACAGAGATGTCCACACCATACTTACCACTACCTATCCAACAGAGATGTCCACACCATACTTACCAATACCTAATCCAACAGAGATGTCCACACTATACTTACCAATACCTAATCCAACAGAGATGTCCACACTATACTTACTAATACCTAATCCAACAGAGATGTCCACACTATACTTACCACTACCTAATCCAACAGAGATGTCCACACCATACTTACCAATACCTAATTAAACAGAGATGTCCACACCATACTTACCAATACCTAATTAAACAGAGATGTCCACACCATACTTACCAATACCTAATCCAACAGAGATGTCCACACCATACTTACCAATACCTAATCCAACAGAGATGTCCACACCATACTTACCAATACCTAATTAAACAGAGATGTCCACACCATACTTACCAATACCTAATTAAACAGAAATGTCCACACCATACTTACCACTACCTAATCATCCAGAGATGTCCACACCATACTTACCAATACCTAATTAAACAGAAATGTCCACACTATACTTACCACTACCTAATCCAACAGAGAAGTCCACACCATACTTACCACTACCTAATCCAACAGAGATGTCCACACTATACTTACTAATACCTAATCCAACAGAGATGTCCACACCATACTTACTAATACCTAATCCAACAGAGAAGTCCACACCATACTTACCACTACCTAATCCAACAGAGATGTCCACACCATACTTACCAATACCTAATCCAACAGAGATGTCCACACTATACTTACCAATACCTAATCCAACAGAGATGTCCACACTATACTTACTAATACCTAATCATCCAGAGATGTCCGCACCATACTTACCACTACCTAATCAAACAGAGATGTCCACACCATACTTACCAATACCTAATCAAACAGAGATGTCCACACCATACTTACCAATACCTAATCCAACAGAGATGTCCACACCATACTTACCAATACCTAATCCAACAGAGATGTCCACACCATACTTACCAATACCTAATCCAACAGAGATGTCCACACCATACTTACCAATACCTAATCCAACAGAGATGTCCACACCATACTTACCACTACCTAATCATCCAGAGATGTCCACACCATACTTACCAATACCTAATTAAACAGAAATGTCCACACTATACTTACCAATACCTAATCAAACAGAGATGTCCACACTATACTTACCAATACCTAATCCAACAGAGATGTCCACACCATACTTACCAATACCTAATTAAACAGAAATGTCCACACTATACTTACCAATACCTAATTAAACAGAAATGTCCACACTATACTTACCAATACCTAATCAAACAGAGATGTCCACACCATACTTACCAATACCTAATTAAACAGAAATGTCCACACTATACTTACCAATACCTAATTAAACAGAGATGTCCACACTATACTTACCAATACCTAATCATCCAGAGATGTCCACACTATACTTACTAATACCTAATCATCCAGAGATGTCCACACCATACTTACCACTACCTAATCAAACAGAGATGTCCACACCATACTTACCAATACCTAATCAAACAGAGATGTCCACACCATACTTACCAATACCTAATCCAACAGAGATGTCCACACCATACTTACCACTACCTAATCAAACAGAGATGTCCACACCATACTTACCAATACCTAATCCAACAGAGATGTCCACACCATACTTACCAATACCTAATCCAACAGAGATGTCCACACCATACTTACCAATACCTAATCCAACAGAGATGTCCACACTATACTTACCAATACCTAATCCAACAGAGATGTCCACACCATACTTACCAATACCTAATCAAACAGAGATGTCCACAGCATAGGTCCACCAAGTCTGAGCTAATTAGTGACACCAGTTATAATAAAATACTAACCTTCCTCTGACAATATTTTCCTGGAACAACTCCTTGACAATATCTACCAGGTTAGACACGTTAACTTTGTTCACTAGACCATTGATGCTTTTCTTCAGTGCCTCCCATGCTATCCTCTGGTACTCCAAACTGAAGTCAAAGTTTTAAAACTCCATAGAATAAAACTTAACACATATATGTATATATTGTATAGCTGGAAAAATTTTAATTTTACAGTATTCTGTCAATAAACAGAAAACATTTAATATCCAGTTTAAAACATTTTTACAGTGAATCAAAATTTCAGAAAATGTCTGTTACACCTGTATACTTAGATCCTAGTTGATACAATAGATATATGGTGAAATTGTTACCTTGATAAAACAAGAATAACTGTGAAATATTACCTCTGAGAAAGTTTACAATAAAAAAGTGTATATTCTTTAATAACAAAATGCATCAACAGTTCTGTTGGCTGTTTAACCACAAACTTCACAAACACAAGACATAGCCACTTTTCTACTCAATGAAAGTATTTCTTAGCACTTTTATCATTTTAAAATCATTGAAACACAGTAAGGTCATTAAAGCATGATTATTGTTAATAAAGTACCCATAACTGTGGGACTAACAAGAATAATCACTGAACTAAAATACCTGTCAGACTGAATGTTTCCCATTCAAATTTTAGTAGATGACCTTGACCTTAGGAATCTCTTGGTCCTTGCCATACATATGAAGTAATTAACTAAAACACCATGATGCTAATTTCCAAGTGTTGTTACCTAGATTTATCAGTAATGGCTGCCTGCATCATTCGGAGACGAGCTGGAGGAATGTAAGCACCTCCTGTCCTTGTTGTTAAGGCTGATGGCTTAGCTGCAACAGGAGTTGTGGTTTCTTCACCTTTTGTTTTGTCCATTTTTTCTTCAGCTTTTCCTTCCTCACTGTAAAATCACAACATAAAATAATAATAAAAACCCATTACCAAAGAAGACATCCGATGTTTCAACAACTCATGTTTCATGCTTGTGTAAACAAAATCAGCCTGAAAAGGAACATACCTTCCTTTCTTGTCATTAGTAGTTATTTTATCCCGGTCTCTATGTTCATCTCTACGTCTGTCATCATCTCTCTTGCGATCATCATTTCGTCTGCGATCATCATCTCGTCTGCGACCTCCATTACGGTCCTCATCCCTGTATCGACTTTCATAGTTACGTTCTCTTCTGTCATCTCTCCTTCCTCGATCATCTCTTCGTCTATCATCTCTGTACCGATCCCTGTAATCATCACGGCGCCTGTTATCACGTCTATCATCCTGACGCCTGTCATCACGTCGGTACCTTCGATCATCCTCACTGCTGCTGTGACGACCACCTCTCCTCCTCTTTCTATCTCGACTACTATCACTGTCATATTCGCCATCCTCTCTGAAAACAAATGTACACCAATAATCAACAGTGCATTTATCTTGCAATTGTTATGATATGGTTAAAACGTTTTGGTTCTCAAATTTCAAATACAAGAAAATTGTCTTTACTTACCTCCCTCTTCTTCTTGAAACCTGTGAAAAATTGAAAATGAATTAATACAAATATAACAATAACATTAGCGTATCACTTCACTCTCTTTTTTTCACTTTTTTCCAAACGATCAGTCATTAATTCTGATATTGTAGTCTTAGACTGTATCATTTAGACACACCACATTCTCAAACTATATCACAAACACATATCTAATGCAATTGTTTCAACCTCTAAAACAGTAACTTAATTATCAAATTCACACAAATATCTTAGTTTTCAGAAAATTTTGTGAAGAATGTGTCAGTGTGTCATTCCATTTATCAAACTTGATAGCCCTCCACATAGTGTAATGTACCCCCAATAATTCTGATAACATTTCCAATAATCACCCAGTAATGCCAAAATCTAAATATCAAAGAACACAGACATTTTGTGTCAGGTTTTTTCAGTTTCACATATTTTAATGAATCCAAAATACTAACCTCGACTGCAGATTTGAGAACAACAGGTGCTTCATCATCGCTGTCTGTGATCTCACCACTCTCTGGCTCACTATGGAATTTACTCATGTCATGATGAGGTGGAGTCCTGGACTTGGAACGTCGTTCTGGAGATTTTGACATGGATTTGGTTGCATCTGGTGACTCAGACTTAGATTCAGAATTCTTTCTGGAATGTGTCTTGGACTGGGCTTCACTGTCATCTTTTTCACGAAGAGGAGATATGGATGTTTCCCTGTCAAGGGATAACTCTACATTATCATCTTCCCTTTCTGGTGTTCCTACATCTAATCTGCTAGGTGAGGATTTTCTTTCCTGTTGGTGTTCCTCATCTTTCCTCTGTGGTGACTTTGATTTCGACCTGGATTTAGATCTAGATGATTTTCTCTTTGGGGGATCTTTAGAATTTGACCTAGATTCCCTTCTGCTGTGTGGTGACCCAGATCTTGACCTTGAGTTCCTCTTTTCTGATGTTCCGATCTGTGGAGACCCAGATTTTGACCTTGATTTTCTCTCAATTCTTGGCGATCTAGATTTTGATTTACTCACTGATTTCAAAACTTTCTCCTTCGCATGAGGCGATGTAGATTTTGAATCAGCCCTCTGAGGTGACCCTTTGTGACTATCAGAATCACTGTCACTGTGACTACTATTACTGCTGCTACCACTTGATGATCCACTACTAGATGAGCTGTCACTGTCTGTATCATCACTATTACTTGATGAATTATCTCCCTTACCACGGCTTGGTGTTATACTTTTGCTACTTCTTTTACTGAAATGCAAAAATAAAAAATACTAAAAGCGCTTAAATGCCTTATGTGTACATAATCTATTTAACAGCATTAAATTTCTAATCCTCATGTTGTCTTATAAATATTCTGTCTTTTTCTTCATTAGCCATTGACTTGTCAAAAGGGATTAATCTTTCATTCATATAATTATAATTGTGACTCTTATACACAACCTTTGACTTATGAGCCCCCTGCTTCCTTTATCTAGCTAAGGAAAATTCCCTGTACCATGAAGCTTGGTGCCAATGGTATTCCTGACTATACAATTGAAATCTTGTATATTTCTTCCCTGTTTTAATGTATTTGCCCAAGATCATATGAGCCCAGGTTCTCTAGATGATGTATCTATGTTCCCTCTAAATTGCACTTGAGTGATCTACAGTTCAGAATATAGCAGTAAGGCAAGGATTATGAACACTGATTCCATCCTTGATACCCCTGAGGTTGCACTTGGTATCATTCTCTGTACCCCTGAAACATCACATGGCAAAAATCAAGTTTTCACATCATAAGATTAGAGGCTAGTTGGTTCCTTTGATGTTGATCAAACAAATCTGGAGGTCCCAAACAGTATGTTATGCTTGCTTTAAAGTATGGCGTCGCTCCCTTGTAACCTTCTAAGTTGGACGGTTTCTTTTGTAATTTTCTATGGCGATATCAGTCTGTAATTGGTCAGTTTTACCCCTGACACCCAATCTAGACCAATCAGATTACTTTGCTTGTGCCCTACACTTTGCCAAGGAATGTTCAAGGGATGTAGAGAGTGAACGTGATCATAACCCCCTAAGTATCCATGATGCACTGATTTGAAACTTGTGGTTAACCCAACCCCCCCCTCCCAAACACACACACAAATAACAACTTATTGTATTGACATTCTATATATTTTCTCCAATTCAAGCTGGTTCAGATCTGATGACCAAAAGGCAACTTTTACTCGAAACTGGCTTAAATGAGGAACATGTATGTGTGCCTCTGTTGGGGATCAAATCTAAGGTCATTGGCTTACAAGTCTACCTCTACTGACCCACAAACATGAAATTAGAAAGCAACCATATCCATTGTTCAATTCAAACCTGCCACACCTGTTAACCATGTACAGAGTCATCTTATAGCACAAACACACACACACCACCACCATTCATTTCTTCAGAATAAATTATTAACATTTAGATTAATGGTGAAAATCGCATTGTCCATGCAAGTCATCCTCTGAAAACTCCAGGAAGAATGTAAAACTTAAAATCAAATGGGAAGTTGTTAACGAAATTAGTTAAACTACTGAACCATTGAAATATGAAGACTATACAAATTCCAAAATAGATTTACTAAAACGGAAAGCTAATTTCAGCAATAAAGGTGAGTATTGAAGCATATGGTGCACAATACGGTAGCCTCACACTTTCGACAACTAAAACACGATTGCCAATAGGATAACAAAAATATTATTTTCGTGTGATAGTGCCATTTCCTAAACACGTCATAACAATTTTTCATCACGAACAGAATATTGCGTTCGTGGCAAACTACTCTGCTTATAGCTGATGGATGATTTCTTTAGAATACCTCGGCATGTTGAGTCAAACAGTTTCACAGATTTTCTGAAAACACAGTACCAACGTTGTGTGTAGATGACGAACAGACAGATGGATCTCGCGAGAACTGTACGAGACCAGTAAATCGCCACCAATCATATCGCGGGAAGGAAAAGGTTCGCGCCAAGTTCATTCTTCATTTTGTAAACAGGTAACACGCCAAGGGTAAGAGGATATTTTATTTTGTAAGTAGAATAATAGATTACCGATTTATATTTTCAACATCGCATTTTCTAGCTGAAAGTCAGTTGTAACTTTTCTAATTCATTTGACGTGTAAATTGAACACGAAATTCTGTTTTTCAATTTTTTCTTGTGTGTCCTGAATCCAAGTAAAAACGCCATATTATGATTTGCGTGCTTCTCTACAGTCCCCTACTATCGTTGTAAATTCTTATTGTAGATATGTTTTAACTTAAATTGTATTTATCCGAAATGACACACGTTGCTATTTGAATGCAACTAATTCAGGGAAATTCAAACCTGTTACCATTATTGATAAAAATACTTTCAGGGTAAACAATTTTTCGTTATGACCTGCGATCACTAAATATCTTTTTGTTTGAGATTTAACTTTGTTGGGTTACGTGACATTAATACTTGCCACTGACAATGAGTTTTAAGGGAATTTAGACTTTCATTTTTATTTTTTGTATGGATTGCAATTACTTTAGCTCAAAGCTAGGTAGTGTTATTTTAACTATGAACAATCGATAAGTGATCTACTTTAGTGTACTACTGTATTCTGTATGTATTTAATTCCTTTTTATACTTGAATGAATATTAATATTAATTGATTATACCTTTAATCATCTATCCAGGCTTCCCAAAGTCTATGAAAAATGTAAGTTTAATACGATCATATTCCAATCCTTGACCTCTGATTATATAACTAGAAATACTGATGACTACAGTAATAATCCTTGACCTCTGAATTCAGAATTAAGTTGACATTTTCTTTTTGGAAGTTTTCTCAAAATATCTTTCAGGAAAGACTGCTTGCAGAAATATTGCTTCATTTTGTACAATGAGGAAACAAAGTACTGGCAACCATATGTAAGAGTATGTCGGCAACCACAATACTGTACTTTTAAAAACTAAAATATTTTTAACAGGAAATACACTTACTTGTGTGAAATATTAATTGAATGATTCAAACTGACGTAATTATACATGCTCATTAAACTTGTTGCAGAATAAAGCATCCATTGAAGATGTCTACCAGGGTTCAGCGTAAACTCGAGTTCCCTGTGCGAAAGTCAACAAGATCACAGTCAAAAAAGGAGGTGATTCCATCCCCAAGCCCATCATTAGCTTCACCTCAGCGACCCAGACAGAGACAATCTGTTAAACCAAAGTTGGAATCTCCTAGAAAAAGAATTGGCAGTGAGGATGGTAATATTAATTGTTTATCAGAAACTAGCATATTTTTTTTTTAGAATAACACTTATTCAGATGGAGAATCACAAGAGACGTGAGAAATGGTTAAAATATCATTTTGCTTAAGTGACATTTTATAGATAAAATATCCAGAGCCGACAGGGATCTTGATTAGAAGTAACATGTCTAATATCAGTGCTCCCTGTTTCATGGAAAGACTTAAAAGACTTCCAAAAAATTGACAAAAGATTCACTTCATAGAAAGCTAGAGGAGCAAGTCTAGGCCTCCTGATGTTAAGTTCACCTTTGTCAAAACTTGAATATTTGTTTTTATTACTGTTATCCAGGGAATTTTGCCTATGTAATATTTTGGCATGTCACCAGTCCTGGAGTGTTTTACATCAGCTTGCTCCGCACAATATAGGCAATGGCATTAAATCATAAATTGAAACTACTGCATCAAAATGGCTGCCACCATTTGATCTTGCCCTCTGTCAAAATGAAACTTTTCTGAACAATGTGATAAAAGAATCTTAAATTTGTTGATAACTCATTTAAGCAAGAATTTGTTATTTCAGTAAAATGTTACAACTTGATTTCTCATTGTAATGAACTTGTAGATGAAGAAAACCTACAACCGACTGGAATTTCTCCAAGCAAAATGCGAAAAGAAAATCGCCCTACACCACGCAAAGGTGAAACACCCATATTGGGAAAGTCAAAGACAAAACTAGCCTATGGAGACCAAGAAAATAAAGGTAATTTTCACATCTTTCATGTTGGTATGATCACAAGCAGAAGTGTATCAAGAAATTTCGTTTCAAATAAAAGTGAGCTAAATTGTGTTGCATCTTATTTCCTTTTTTTTTTTTTTTTTGTTGATTGGGATTGTTTGAAACCAGCTTGTTAAAATGTCAACAACGGAAATGGTCTTGATTTTCAGATGCCCCAAGCTCACCACTGAAAGATTACATGAAAGAGACGAAGAATAACTCTGTGAGACTTATATCACCTGTGAGAGTCCAACCTCTTACTCCAAGGAAAGACAACCAGCAAAACATTCTCAACTCTCCATTGAAACAAAAATCTGTGACTCCAAGTAAAGGGAGACAACTGAATTTAGGTTCACCATTGAAAGTCAAACCAATTACTCCCAGGAAGGTTGAAGAGAATTCACACAGAAAATCTACACCATCCCTTAAACTGAAAAAACAAGATGGTAAGTCTCTTTTGTTTGTTTTGTTTTTATCTAGTGTTATATAACAAGTAAAAAAATCAATGCACTAGACCAAGGCTTGTAGTGCTTGCCCGAAACAAATATTTCCAAAACTATACATGAAATATTAAAGAAACATGGTGCTTTTGAATTGGTTAGTAAATTATTAGGAAAACGTCTTCAGAAAATGAAGCTGAAATGCATTTATATCAATAAAACAAAAGGAAAAAAATCTCTCATTCACTGAAAGCAAAGAGAGAGAGAAAAAATTGGGATATGTCCAGATGCCAGCTCTAGCAGTTAGAAAACACCATAAGCATGGCTGTCTTGCTTTCTTGTTGTCTTTTAGATTTTCATATCAAATATAAAATATCAATTTAATGACAAATGACAGCTATTTTGAATACATATTTTGATATAAATAGAAAACATGTACTTTTTTCAAGCATGTAGGACATTATATTGTCAGGGTGTCAGTAAAAATCTTCAATCTCCGATGAAATTGATATTGTTTATGATCCATGAAAGCAATATTTATGTTTTATGACTCAGATATTATGATCGTAAATTCTTTACTGTCTGCTGGGGAAAACTTCTATAGAGTCACTAGGGCTGGGCTAGTCAGTCTGTAATTTCCACTTGACCAAGCTGAAATTTTGATCATCCTTTGCGTCGGATTAGTGGATTTGTCCTTGATACAAATTTGGTAAATGCTAAGTTCTAAGTTGCTTATAACAGACTTGCAACTGGCTTTTAAAAAGAACATTGATACATAAATAACCCTAGACACAATATTATATGTCACTCGGCAGTGATCTCAATTGGTTGAGTGTACGACTAGTAATTCAGAGGTTCCAAAATTAAATCCTAGCAGAGGCATTCAAATAGATAATGACCTCTGTTACAATCGTACCCATGTAGCCACTCAGAGTCAGGAATAATATTGTTCCATAAGCATCACTGTCGCCCCTAGACTGTCACCCCAGGAAATTAGACATCTTCATACCTGGAGGTGGATATGTAACCCTAGTAAAGTATCATAACACAATGAGCTAGAGAGATCTTTAGTTTGATAGAAAAAACAACAACAAAAAAAAGAACAAAATATTGGAAAGTCTGAAATTTGGGGTTCAAATCCTAGCGGAGATGTTGAAATAAATAATGACAAATAAATTTCTCTCCCATATTTAGTTATGTCCTTTATATTTGAAAATTTATAAGAATATTGTATATGAATAATGATAGAGAATCGGTGTTTAAATCTATCTTGACAGGACTGCAGATGGTGGCATATATAGTGAGAATAAAGTCAGAATGACAAACAAATTTTGAGGAAATTATGAAGCACGATCTCTTTAAATGTAATTCAACCAAAAAGAAATTATCTATTATTTTGAGACTTCATTTTTTTATTTTCAATTTCAGGACAATTATATCACCAAGCTAAACAGTCTTTCCATACTGCAAAACCAGAGAGACTCATCGGGAGAGATCAAGAAATGACAGAAATTTCTGCATTTGTAAAAGGTCACATGACAAAGAAAACAGCTGGCAGTATCTACATATCTGGTGCTCCGGGCACAGGGAAGACAGCTGTCCTTACACATATCCTTGATAATGTACAGGTTAGCATTATTGAAATCTATTGAGAAATGGAATGATTACTGTCTGTGTTTATGTTCATCTTGCAGTATTTTTCCTGTTAATGTAACTCAGTTGGCCAAAAAAAATGCATTACCAAACAATCTCATGCAATCCAAACACATTTTAGCCAGAATTTTTTCAAACACAAACTACAAAAATCCCTAATTGTGACAGATTATGAAAATCTTTGGGGGAAGATATCAAGTAAATGAATTATTGGTATTGTTAAGAATATCTGAAGATTTGATGAGTTGAATAGTTGTGCCTTTGAATTATAGAGCTTTGCCAATCTGTTGACTTTGCTGTTATATTTTTATTTCATTGAATGGACAGTATTACATCAATAACACTTTATATAATCATGATGAAATTTGATTTCGGTTTGTATTCAGACTACACACAGCTGCAAATCGTTATATCTCAACTGCATGACGCTGAAGGACTCGGCAACAGTATATGGCAAACTCTACACAGATCTGACCGGCAAATCCCCACCATCCTCTAAAGACAGACTCAGGGCTATAGAGAAGCATTTAACCACAGCTGGACCTAGCATGTAAGCATAAGAATTTCATGCTGTTACAATCATTAAATTTTGAATTTTTGCGTAGGAAAAAAAATAATTCAGTTTTTTTATTGATATATCACCTTGAATATATTTAATATTTGCAAACAATAACTAATTACTTTTATTTCCATTTTCATTATAAATCTGATCAATAAGCCATTCTAAATGTGGCGGAGATAAAATATGCATTTAAAACAATTAACAGCAAAGAGTTGCACATAAGTCTTTCCAGGATGCAATGATGATGTAATTTTTTTATATTTTCCCTAATTACACAGGTGCTCAGGAAACATACTTATTACTGAATCTTATCATTTTGTTTATGTATTGTTGATAAATATTGTTTTATCAATGACAGCACTATCAAAAAAAAGATATTTTCCATTATATAACACTGGTGGGTTGTACATGTATATGTAAAAATAAAATCATATTGTGGTTTCCATCATCGAACATGCTTTTTTGTGCTTCCTAATTTCACTGTTCTTATTTCATAGAATCATGGTTTTGGACGAGATTGACCAGTTAGATAGTAAAAATCAGGAGATTCTCTACACAATATTTGAGTGGCCATCGATGACCAAATCCAGACTGATACTGATAGGTAGGTATTATAATTATTCATTTATACCCAGACAAGCAGGTACTAAATTTGAGGAATTCACTTCCCCATGGATTTTCAAAACATAATTTCAGAATTTCTTTCCTTGTTCCATATTTTAGTGATTAGATAAAAAGTTGTAGTTTTCTACATCATGATATAAAGTGTCTTCAATCACAGCTACACAAGCTGTATTCCAGGGTACTGATAACATTCACTGAAGACTTCAATGAAAATTTGACTTAATTATATGCAAAGTTTGAAAATAAAATAAAAGTTGTATTGCTGATAAAGGTACAGAATGGCATTCTTTATGTTGTAATAACCATATGAACAAACAAGAATAGTAATGATAATTTTACTTTTATAAATAGGGATAGCCAACGCCTTGGATCTGACCGACAGAATCCTTCCACGACTTCAAGCCAGACCAAAGTGTAAACCACAATTACTCAACTTCGCCCCTTACAGCAAAGACCAAATTGCTGCCATCCTCAAGGACAGAATTCAGAAGGTAACAAAGGCTATTATTTTTCTGTGTAAATATCCAGAACAACATATCACAATGAAAGTAAAAGTGAGACTTTTCTTTTAACTAAACAACAATACGGGTATGACTCAATATCAGGTTTGGAAATAATGACAGATAAATGCTGTACAACTTCTATGTAAATTATCAGTAAATGAAACAAACTTTTTTTTACCTTGATCCTCTTATTTTCGATTGTAAGAGAGTTGCCATTAGTTTTGAACATTGTGTTAATTCTCAAACTCAATATCATACTAGAAATCCAGGTAATAAAATAGAGTGTTGATGGACACTATGCCAACAAATTTACAACAGTTGCCATAATTAAGTAACATATTTGTGATATTCTCAAATTAATTTTTTTGTCACATATTTTCAGTTGGAGAGTGACGGAGTGGCTGTAATGGAGAATAGTGCCATACAGTTCTGTGCCCGTAAAATCTCTGCTGTTGCTGGAGACATGAGAAAAGCTTTAGATGTTTGTCGTAGGGCAGTGGAGATGGTTGAAACTGAAGTCCGCAGTCAGCAGGTTCTAAAGTCAAATTCAAGTATGTAAAAGCTAATTTGTCTTGGTAAAATAATACCTATTAAGAGATATGATAGGGTTTTATGCTTGCTATCCTTAGTATAAATTACAGAACATCATTTATCGGCTTTCTGAAGAAGAGCTTATTTATGGGTGTTTTTAGGCATGGTTGACTGACATACAAATCAAAAAAATTTCATTTAGTACTGGGTTTCAAAGAAACACAAAAAAAGCTGATACTAGTACCATCTCATCTTCTTACTAATTATCTCCATCGCCACAATAAAAAAAACATTTGAATTGTGTTATTGCAGCCATGAACAGTCCATCTAAGCAACCACCAGCCGTCCCAAAGAAAATTAGTGTGATGCAGATCTCCAAGGTGTTATCAGAGGTATATGGATCAAGCACGGCCACATCTGGTCAAGAGAGCATTCCCCTACAGCAGAAACTGGTTGTGTGTACTCTCCTACTGATGGTCAAGGAAGGCCGCATGAAAGAAGTGACCATGGGAAAGGTAAACAGTGTGATAACATTAAATTAAATTAAAACACCACATCTTTATTTTCTCTCTCTCCAAGTGAAATCATCAAATTCTCATTGGCACAAAGAACTGTAATCACTTGTGTCCTAGTCAGTATATTTACTACATGTATGTCATTTGAGCCATTGCTCCCCCTGGTGCTAAGATTTGGCATTACTACTTCAGTTCATAAAATTTCATTCAAAAAGATATTTCAACTTTGACTAATCAAACTGCTGTGTTTTTTAATCACTGCATTTTGCAAAGTGTGATATATCAGGTTGTGAAATCATAATAAAATCTGTTTAGTTGTTCTGTTATTTAAATCATTACATATTTGTACTCATCTTGGTTAAAAATCAAGACCTTTATTTCTTATGTTAATGTACATTGCTAAGTTTCTGACACCGACAAAAAGCTTGCATGCCACACCTTGCCTTATCCTGAAATTTATTCCTGAACTTCATGAAAAAGATCAATAGGCATTAACTTTTGAATCAAAGACTTTGATTATCAAACACTTTCTTTTAACAGTTACCTCCCTTCTGATGTTGTTTAGTGACAGCAGAATAAACTTGGGAATGTTTGATCTCTAACAATTTGTTTTCTAGTTTTTACTTTTTAAGGATATCTACTATTTGTATAAAAGATAAAAAGGTTGTTTTATACGAGAGAAACAACTGTATATTGACTGTCTGTAAATCTTGTGACTTTTATACAGCTGCAGGATACATGTACGAAAGTGTGTAAGAAAAGACAGATGGCCACACATGATTCGTCCGAGTTCCAGGGTCTCTGTACTTTATTGGAGACAAGGGGAATTATAGGCATCAAAAAACCCAAAGATGGACGACTTGCTAAGGTATCTTTTTTAACCATCATATTGTGTTCAGAATTTGTTTAAGAAGTCTTAAAAATTGTTTTTGATGGCCAGTAAAAGTATGATTATAAATGGAAGTCAGTTACGTGTCATCAATGATGCAGAAGATGCTTGATCTTTGTGTACACCTGTCTTATTCTCCTTTCACTTTTTCATGAGTGTGATAATCTTTCATTTGTTCATAATTTCCTCTAGTTGTACAAATTAGAAATATAGATTATGATTCTGGTGACATATTTTCTTGTTTATCTACACAAGATTCTTTTTCTGACGTCAAATAAATTGATATTCTAAATATGAAATGCTGTTAAGAAAAACAAAACATAAAAAAATAGAATGTGTTTGAAGTATTGACACAGGAGTACATAAATCATTTTGTATTTCCTAGTATTTGCTTGTAGCTTTAATGATTATCGAAACCAGTTAATATTTTAAAGTATATTCTAGTAGTTCATGTGATTCTTGTTTAGTGTAAAAACATTTTTTTTCTTTTTTAATTTGCAGGTGTCACTGAAGTTAAATGAAAAGGAACTAGAACATACACTACAAGACAAAGTGTTGATATCATCCATTTTAAATGATGGCCTATAACAAATATTAAAAATATTTACTGATACACTCCACATGACATTCTACAACCATCTCTTACATTCTCCAGGTGGTAAGATCGTTCTACATACCAGTCTAAAAGACTAGAGACAAAATTATGTGCAGCAAAATGATATTACCAGATAGAATTGGATTCTTAATTGTTATTTGTTTGACAAATAATGTTTGTTTTTGAAACATTTGTGTCCAAAGAAATGTTTCACAAAGTGATCGAGACAATTTATCCATTTGCTTTTTCAAGCATTAACTTGATACGGAATTCAGTTTACTGTTTTTAATTTTATGTGTGTATGTGTTGATAATGTAGGATAGTAGTTTCCATTGTAGATTGCTCAATTTTCATTTTCTCTTATATATAAGTTATAGGTTACAAGCTATTAATATGAAGATTGCATGTTAAATTAAAATTAACCTTGTAAATCTTGTGATTCTAGTCCATATTCCCATACTCATAGACTATACAACAGCCTTGTCAAGTCCTAGTCAGGAGAAATTAATGTGGTGAAATAATGTGTTATCATTATGCTTTTGGTCTGCCTTTTTTTCTAACTTTTATAAGATATTGCGATCTTTTGTGTAATGAAGTATTGTACTGTGAAAAGATTTTAGATAATTTTGGTATGAAATTTAGGAATGTGTCATTGTTCGTCAATATCTTTTTTGTAATGAAGTACTGTGTAAAGATTTTAGATAATTTTGGTATGAAATTTAGGAATGTGTCATTGTTTGTCAATATCTTTTTTGTAATGAAGTACTGTGTAAAGATTTTAAGTAATTTTGGTATGACATTTATGAATGGGTCAATGTTTGTCAAATATTTTGTTGAAACTTCAAGGTATTTTGTATTATTAAGAAAAATCTCAGTCAAAAAATTCTCTGACGTATTCATGACCAAGAATTATCCTTGGAGTTAATGTTCTATTTTCATGCTGTGTTGTGTTCATGGTTATACAATGTCTGAATCATACCCATAATTTTTTTTTTTTTTTTTTTAAAACAAGTGATTGAAATATAATTATTTGTATTATATTGAATTGTAACTATACTTTTTCTGCACTATGACAGCTGTGTGATTGATTCATATTAGAATTTTTTTAACTGCATGTTTTGTCAAGTTGATTATGTATTCCAGTGAGGTAAACAGATTTTATTGTGTCCGGATATTTTTTTTTTTTATTATTTTTAAACCATAGATGTAATCCAGAGTAATTTCCTAGATGCTTGGACATGTCACAAATCTAAAGTGAAAATATTAAATGTGCAAACATTGCTTAACAGTATTTATGAGTTGGGCAATAAGCACCTGTTTTATGATGGGCCCATCCATGTACATCCTTGTTTAGTATTATTGCTTACAAATACTTCTTTATTATCCTGTAATAAGCCCACCCATGAGCATCCCTGCTCAATATTTTGACTTACTTTATGGTCTTGTAATAAGCCCACCCATGACGACTTTTGAGTAAGAAGGAACTTGCTGTTCCTGTGGACGTCAGTTATAAAGCACCTGTTTTGTGTGAACATTCATGTATCATCAGAGGTGTAACAGGAAGTTCACCTTCAGTAGTGTCTCGGTCTATATAAATCATTATATGGTGTGTAAATAGCCCTCTGTATGTTGTTCAGTAAGATAGTCCACCAGCTACTTGTAGAAAAACCTTAAAGATTACTTAGGCTGTTCTAAGTGTGATAAACCCAGCAAGTCTGTGGAGTGAGAGATAGGGATTCCATCACTGGGAGTATTGTATAGTTAGAAACTTTCATCTGTAGCAGGTGAATCAGTTAAGTTGCAGGTATATTGTGTAGATACCTTCAAATTGTTTAAAATATTAAAAAAAAAAAAAAAACTGGAAATAATTATGAACTCTGGTGATGAAAATCTGTTCACATATGTATGGTGAACTGTGAGACTGTCATGTATATTCTGTTGTCTTTGTAGATATGAGGATTCTGTTACAGCAGTAATGTGATTACCAAACTTGTGTGGTATACCTTACCTTTAGAATCAATGCAATAGGTGGCGGTATTTTAAGTTTATTGAGAAGTCTTGTGATTTTATTTTTCATGCTAGACAGACGTGTCTTCAATATCAAAATTACTGCATGGCTTTAATTTATGAATCAAATGCGATAAGATATTAATTTAATACAATTACTCACTTGGGTTAAAATAAATCAAATTTATTTACAATTCAATTATTTATTTGTAATAATATTCAATTAATGCAGTCTTGCTATTTATTTTATTTATATTACATTTTGGAAGCTTTGCATAACTATGCATTACAATTAATATAAGTATTTGGACCAGAAATACTTTTCCCTAGGTGTAGACTCAGCAGAATTTTCTAGCATGTCTAGTTTCTGGTTACAATGTGTGTTTACCAGTATTTATAAAATGTATATAAAAAATAAGGAACTTTTTCTTTAAAACAATTTATTAATCATCAGATAATTTCCATTTTAATTAAAAAGAGCAAAATTATGATTATTTTTATTTTAAAAGACAGGAATTTTTTTTCTTTTGAATCCTCCATTTTTCACAAGTTAAAACTGTTAACAAACAAAAGTATTACGTTCAAGTTTGTCATTTTTAAATGGGAATTACTTAATGCTACAAACTTTGTAGAAGTTCATATCAGAGAAAATGAAAATAAATCTTGCGGGATATATTGTGACCAGAAGTAATGATTAAATACAAATTTTATGAAAAGAAATTAAAAGAATATTTGCATGAATTAATCCAGCTGCATGCTAAGATTCACTTTAAATAAGAGCATGTTTACTAGTAATTATAAAAGAATGAAATCCTTGTCAAACTGAAATGTAATTACAATAAAGGTTTGTTCTTGATAAACGAAGTCTTCATTTTCTCAATACATTCTTAATTATGAACCTGATTCTATTTGAAGAGAGGTGGAGGATTTATCATGATACGCTGGAAACATGGTTTTCTTTGATGCTGCATGTTCACTGATAGCAGAATACATGTATAATATGTTCGCCGTAAGGAATGACAACTCTGGTAGAAATTGCATCGGAGTGAAATTAAGGGCAGTAACTCTGGTAGAACAGAGTGAGTTATGATATCCTGACTTATCAATGTTCATGTTATTACTATGTAGAAGAACTCTTTCTTTCTCCAAAGCAATGTGATGAGTTATTAGAAGACAAAAAGTGATAAATAGCTGCCGACAAGAAATCATACTGACAATAAAAGGAGAATTCTCATCATTATTGACCTTTACATGTAGAATTAGTCTCTGTCTGATGTAGACTTAAAACTAAATAGAATAGATTCCTGATGTTTATAGAAAGCAGATTTTCAAATACTGTGTACTGGACTATGAGGGCGATAATTTATTTCATTTATATAGCCCGATTACTCTGAGGGCAAAATAAACAGTATGGAATGCATTAAGGTATGGCTTGTCCGTTCGTCAAATTTTTTTTAAATCTTAATATGTTTGGCAATCCTTCCCTAGTTTTCCACCAATCACTTTCAAACTTTGTACGCTTAATCACTGTGTTTTCCTGAATGGCAAAGTGAGTAGACAAGTTGAAAAAAAAATCCCTTCTTCTTTTTGATCTTTTCCGGAGATCTTTGTCAGTTTTCGACAGTGTTTTTTTTACTGAACACCAGTTTGATTAAACTTTATTAGGAAGAGTTACTTCCCCTTGTTGTTTTCATAGATCTCTTAACAGTTTTCAATTAATTTTCCAAATTTTTAACAATGACAAAATTGTGTTTTCTCAAATGATAACTTGATTCAATTATACAGTTCAAAGAAATTATGTGGTTTTTAAAAATGTTCTGGTGATTTTACTACTTTCCGAAGAGTTGTTGCCCTTTAATTTTCAGCATCATATTCTTGTCCAGGTATATTTCTTGTAGATTAATCTCTTTAAAACTTGGAATATTTCAATTTATGATGCAAATCTCGGCATTTCGACTCAATATTACCATGTTCATATTTATATCCGAAAAAATAAATTATGAATGTTTCCTTTACATTAATTACCTTTCCCTCCGCGATACTTTTGTCATATAGTAAAATTTTCGTCGTTGAAAAATCTATGATAAAAATGGGGACACAATACCTATAGTGTTTCATCCATCCCTGTATGTGATTTTTTTTTCAGATGTCTACAACTCAACATTCGAGGGGTTATGTTGGATCGATAGCGAAAGTAGAGCTGGGTTATCTGTAAAGTATAGGTCACGTGAGATTTGAGCTTGTGACAAAATAAATGATCTGTCGTTAGTTGGCCATGTGAAACGGTGAAATAATAATGATGTACCATCTCACCAGACAGATCACACAACGGGTGTCCCTTCCCTTGACAAATTGTAGACTAGGTTCCCGCCGAGAATACATTTGTCAATCAAACCAAATTACGAACTGTTCGTCACCGATTTGCCCCTTGGCAATGTAAATCTACCATCACCGGCACCTTATACCTAGCTTGAATGATTCGAGCATGTCAGTATCATTGAAATGGTATAAAAAAAACGAGACAGGAACTGGAAAACGGGAACAGGTCACAACATGGAAATGGGAAGTGGAGCTGCTACATGAACCCCGGTCCCGGAGAAAACTTCCGATATAAGATATAAGGACTGGTCTTCACAAGGACACGAGAAAATACATCACACCCACAGGAACAAGTCACTAAAGGGACATAATCCCAGTAACAAGTCACCAAAGGGACATAATCCCAGGAACAAGTCACCAAAGGGACATGATCAAAGGAACAAGTCATCAAAGGGACATGATCCCAGTAACAGGTCACCAAAGGGACATAATCCCAGTAACAAGTCACCAAAGGGACATAATCCCAGTAACAAATCACCAAAGGGACATAATCCCAGTAACAAGTCACCAAAGGGACATGATCCAAGGAACAAGTCATCAAAGGGACATAATCCCAGTAACAAATCACTAAAGGGACATAATCCCAGTAACAAGTCACCAAAGGGAC